TTTTGAATCCCAGAAATTCAGTAGAAGGTACCCCAATCTGGCCTTTGTCTTTTCTGAGCTTGAGGCCTGATTTCCTGAATCTTAACAGGACAGCCCTAAGCCTTTCATCTAGAATGTGTGTGGAGTCTCCTGCAATCAAGACATCGTCAAAGTAGGGGCAGACCCCTGGTATACCTCGTAGTGTGTTTTCCATTACTCTTTGGAAAATCCCAGGAGCGACATTTACTCCAAACTGTAGCCTTTTTACTTTAAAGGCTCCCCTGTGGGTCACAATGGTCTGAGCTATGGCAGCATCATCATCAACAGGCAGCTGTTGATATGCTTGAGCTAGGTCAAGCTTTGCAAAAACACGCCCCCCCCTTGAGAGAGGCCAGGATGTGACTGACCACAGGAACAGGATAGGCATGTTGCTGCAATGCCTTTTTGAGTGTGCATTTGTAATCAGCACAAATGCGAATGTCCCCATTTGCCTTTAGAGGCGTGACAATGGGGGTCTCCCACGGGCTGGAATCAACAGGTTCTAGGATTCCCTGTTGGATTAGTTTGTCTAATTCAGTGTCAATCTTACTTTTTTAAAGCAAAAGGGACCCTTCTTGCTTTAATCCTAATGGGAGTGACAGTGGGGTCTAGCTTTAAGGACACAGGTGGTCCTTTGAATGTGCCCAGCTGGGGCTGAAAACATCTGCAAATTCTTTGCAGACTTCCTGTAGGTCGAGTGTTTGTAAGCTGTTGAGTCCTGTGACGTGTATCCCCAGGGCCTCAAACCAATCGAGTCCTATGAGACTCGTTCGTTCACCCCCTACTACTAATAAGTCTAGTGGACCTTCAAAACTCTTGTATTGCACGTTAAGGGTGGCCTCCCCCTTAACACACACTCTTGAGTTCTGAAAATCTGTTAATACAATATCAGAAGGCCTTAACTTGGCCTTAGACCCACTTCTGGAACAAATCTTCCTAAATGTATGCAATGAAATGATGGACAGGGCGACCCTGTGTCTAGTTCCATAGATAATGGAACCCCTTGTAGCTTCACGTTGAGTGACAGCTTTTTCTTCATGGGCTTGTGTGTGCCTGTTCTACAGATGCTTCTTCGCGAAGCGCAAAACCCTACCCTATTCTGGCTGGGGAATCTGGTACCTTTCAGGCGTTCTTCTTGGGGTTGTGCCTTTCGTCGGCTCAGACACACAGCTGCAATATGCCCTTGTTTGCCGCATGCCCGGCAGGTAGCGGAGCGGAACTTGCAGTCGGTTCTCCTGTGGCGACCTCCACAGCCGATGCACTTGAGCAGGAGCCGAAGAGCTTCCCTTCTGGTTCTCTTCCTTCGCGGGGTGTAGACGGTCGACTTCCTCGTCCGGATCCTCCTCGGAGTTTCGTCGGACGTCTTCCTGGTGCACGGACGCACCCTCTGCACTGTTTCTGATCGGCCGCATGTTTTTGACGGCGCCGCCTGCTGCTTCTTCTGCGGTGACTTCCCTTAAGGCGTCTTGGAAGGATAATTCTTCCTTTGCGAAAAGTCTCTGTTGTAGCTCGCGATGCCTTAACCCGCACACGAATCGGTCCCTCAGTCGTTCCTCGAGGTCCTTGAACTCGCAGGGCTTGGCGGCCTTCCGTAACGCGGCGATGTATTCCTTGGCTGACTCACCGGACCGTTGATCCCTTTGTTCGAAGGTGTGGCGCCATGAGATAACGGACACCTTGGGGTGGAAGTGCTCCTTCAGCAGCTTCTTCAGGTCTGCGTAGCTTACAGACTCTACTGGGACAGGTGCTGCAAGGTTTTCTGCGATTTCGAAGGCGTCTTGGCCGCAAACGCAAAGCAGGGTGGCCGCCTTCAAGCTATCTTCCCTCACTTGGTTTGCCTTGAAGTAGTTCTCCATTCTGGATACGTAGGACTCCCACCGCTCTGGATGTGAGACGTCGAATTCCGAAAGCCTTCCGATTTTCGCCATCTTCGGATCTTCAGGAGACGGGTCTATCAGCCAGCCTACCCCCGAATGCGCACCGGATTGGCGGGCAGCTGCCGAGTCGACGCCGTTCCTCTTTCGCCGCTCAGGACTCCTTGGGTAAGCTTACACTTCTTCCTTTCCAGGTAGTGCAAGGCATCCCACCTTCATCGCCAGTGTTGAGTCCGTGGCGGGAAAACAGACACGAGAAGCAGCTGGAGTTCTCAGTTTCATTTTATTCAGCGTTCAGCTTACAGGAAGATGGCTTCAGCCTCGCCCAAACGCCTCGCAGCCTCTTATATAGGCAACTCCCGGGTAAATGGGTTACTTTTCCCGCGCCAGCACCCGCGCATGCGCACGGCGCTGGCGACAGCCTGTCTGGTCCCGGGCAGCTTTGCACCTGCCCGGGACTGCCTGCAAACGCCCGAGCCGTTTGCAAGGCTCGGGACATAACAGCAACTCTTTTGATACTTCTATGGAATGGCAATTCATATCAGCACATAGTTCTCTGCTCAGTCTAAGGGCAATTCCACACTGCAATCTAAGTTGCTTCTCTCCTTAACTGTAGCCAACTTTTCTTAAGATAATTTAAGAAATTCTGGTTCAGTTTATAGTGGATTGGCAATAGGCTTGGGTTGATGCTCACGCTGAACTATTGACTATTGGAAGATCTGATTGTTTGTTTTCCTCGTTCTTTCTTCTCACCCAGTAGTAAAAAGACTGCTTTACTGTATTATTAAAGCCATTTAATTCCATAAGAGAATTAAATTAGATGCCAGTATAGAAAACACACATATTCTCTTCTATGAGCTATTTTGTTGTTCAGTCGCTAAATTGTGTCCAACTCTTCACGATCCCATTGACCATAGCAAACCAGGCTCCTCTGTCCTCTACTGTCTCCTGGAGTTTGCCCAAATTCATATTCATTATGTTGATCACACTATCTAGCCATCCCATCCTCTGCCGTCCCCTTCTCCTTTTGCCTTCAATCTTTCCCAACATCAAGGTATTTTATTCCTCAGCTTCAGCTTCAGATGTATCTGTCCTTCCAAAGAACAATCAGGGTTGATTTCCTTTAGGGTTGTCTGATTTGATTTCCTTGCAGTACAAGAGACTCTTAAGAGTCCAATACCAACAATTTAAAAGCATCAACTCTTCAGTGTTCAGCCTTCCTTATGGTACAACTCTCACAGCCATACATTACTACAGGTAGTTCTTGATTTACAACCATAATTGAGCTCAACAATTCTGTTGCTAAGTGAGACATTTGTTAAGTGAATTTTGCCCCATTTTATAACCTTTCTTGCCACAACTGTTAAATGAATCACTACAGTTGTTAAGTTAGTAACACAGTTGTTAAAGCTTCCCCCTTGACTTTGCTTGTCAAAATAACAATAAATATACTGGTTTTTAGGGGAAGAAATAATAAGCAGTAAAATTATTCCACTTCTTCAACTCTCTCTGCAGTGATCTTAGAGCCCAAGAAAATAAAATCTGTCACTGCTTCCATTTCTTTCAGGAAGTGATTGAACTGGGTTTTTTTAAATGCTGAGTTTCAAGCCACCTTTTGCACTACTCTTACCAATAGGTTCTTTAGTTTCTCTTCACTTTCTGCCATTAGAGTGGTACTGTCTGCATATCTGACGTTTTAGACATTTCTTCTGACAATCTTAATTCTGGCTAGTGATTCAGCTAGCCTGTCATTTTGCACGATATACTCTGCATATAAGTTAAATAAGCAGGGTAGCATTATATACAGCCTTGTGTTACTTTCCCTATTTTGAACCAATAAGTTATTTCATGTTCAGTTTTAACTGTTATTTCTTGAACTGTATATAAGTTTCTCAGGAGACAGATAAGATCAGGGGTGTCAAACTCGTAATGTTACGTGATGTGTTGTGACATATCGTGACTTTTTTGCCCATTGCCGGCAATGGGATGGGTGCGGTTTTGCTATGATGTATCTGGCCCATGGGCTGGCAGTTTGACACCCCTGGATAAGATGGTCTGGTATTCCCATATCTTTAAAAACGTGCCACAGTTTGTTATGATCCACACAATCAAAGCTTTAGTGTAGTCAATGAAGCAGAAATAGATGTTTTTCTCCATAATCCAGGGAATATTGGCAATTTGATCTCTAGTTCTTCTGCCTCCTTGAAACCCACCATGTACTTCTGGCTGTTCTCAGTTCACATACTGTTGAAGCCTAGCTTGTAGGATTTTGATCGTAACCTTGCTAGCATGTGAAATGAGCGCAATTGTACTGTAGTTTAAACATTGCCCTTCTTTGGGATTGGAACATAAACTGACCTTTGTCAATCCTGTGGTCGCTGTTGACTTTTTTCAAATTTGCTGGCATTTAACAGCATTTTAACAGCTTCACCTTTTAGGATTTTAAATAGCTCAGCTGCAATACCGTCACCTCCACTAGCTTTGTTGTTGGCAATGCTTCCTAAGGCCCACTTGTCTTCTTACTCCAGGATAGTGGCAATCACTCCATCGTGGTTATCAGGGATCTTTCTTGTATAGTTCTTCTTAACCTCTTAGAAAGCTCCAGCTTTTTGCTGCCATCAAGTGGTCACTGGCATTTTTACAGTCGAGGTATAGTAAATCTAGCCTAAATTAATCATTTGAAAAAGCTTATGTTTTCTGTACTTGTGTGATCCATTAAATCAGTTCCCAATCTTGAACAAACAATTGCATTAAAGAGTTATTGGATGATTCTTAGAATGTGCCACTCAGCAGAGACTACAATGTGGTCATGTGGAAATTACCCTAAAGTTTATGTTAAATTTAGTCTCCTATTTGGTTAGCTCTCTGACAAAATGTATATTTAGCATCAGATATAAAATCAGTTATTCAGCTATCCCTGGGACCTACCAGTAACATGACTGTTTCCCCAGGTCTTGATGTTTTTAATTATTTGTAAAATGTTCTTTATTAGAAGACTGCTTCTCTAAAATTCCCACAGACCTTTACATCTGCAATGAAATTATAATGATAAAGAAAAGTTTCTCTTCACACTACCATTTCTGTGATGTTTTTTTTGTTTGTTTGCAGGCCTGTGAAAGAGATCTGCAGTGTGGAAGTGGGACATGTTGTGCTATCAGCTTGTGGCTTCGTGGGCTTCGTATGTGCACTCCATTGGGGCGTGAGGGAGATGAATGCCACCCTATTAGCCATAAGGTATTTGTAAGTGGCCTCAACTAGTTCACAATATGAAATACTAATCGTCTTTCATGTCAACGTATATCTTTGTATTGATCTGCTGATATATATGTACATCAGCTGCTGGAACACATGACATTTTCTACAGGCTTCACTTTATTTATCACTTGTTTATTAAAATATTTACATTTCAGTTTGCATTTGCAGGGTCCCAAAGTAAAATGCATTTATGTATTAGTTGAGAATTCCATTTTCTACAGCCTGATCATTGTTTGATTTTGTTGAGCTGAATTATAGAAACAAAGCAACAGTAACATTATCTGCTGCCTAACTATCAACTGCATTGGGAGGAAGGTAAAACCTCAGATTTCTTAACTGAAGTTAAATTGCTTCACATAATTCACTCTTACAAGGAAAGAAGTTTTTTAAGAAAGCAGGTATCGACATAACATTAGCTTTGTATGAAAAAGTGTGGCCTTTTATTTCTCTCTCATGAAATGACTTCACACATTTCCCCAAGTTGTATAGGGCTTCATTCCTCGTTAGTTCAGAAATTTCTAGAAAGATGAAGATCTGGGTCCGTTCCAAATTACATTGCAGAATTTAGGTCAAGGTTTTTTAAAACTTGGCAACTTTAAGATGGATGGACTTCAACTCCCAGAATGCTCCCAGCCACCATTCCCAGAATTCCATCTTAAAGTTGCTGCGTTTGAAGATTAGGCCATATAAATCCCAAGTAGTTTCATTTTGTTTTTCTTAAGGATAAAGTGTTTTATAGCTTTTTTGTGCATTTAGTTGTTTACCTTACTTGAATGCAAAGTTTATTGTTAACATTATTTATATTTTCTATTTTCTTTAAAAGGTCCCTTTCTTCGGAAAACGGCAACATCACACCTGTCCTTGTTTGCCAAACCTCATATGTTCTAAATTCACTGATGGTCGATACCGATGCTCAATAGACTTCAAGAACATGGATTTTTAATGAAAAGTGTTTTGTGACCTTCATACCTTTATATCTACAGCATGTTAAAAAATGTTGAAGATAATTGTCAGTTTATACAAATGACTTAAATGGGCTGTCAGTAATTAGTAATTTCTGGACGTGCAGATATTGTTCCTGTAAAACAAATGAAAAGATTCTAGAACTGAAATTAAAAATATAAACTTGCAGAATGACTAATATGAGCTGGGCATATTTTGTAGTTCTGGAAACACCTTTATTTATTCCAGAATATCTTTTTTAAAAAAACTAAGTAGTTAATATTATTGTGTCTGGAAAGATGATAGATATAGATTAGGTAACTAGACAGCTAGACAGCTGGCTAGATAGCTAGGCAGACAGTCAGACAAACAGATATAGATAGATAATAGATATTTGTGTTCTTCTTATCTTTCCTACTCACCGTTTAATCTCAATGTGCAAAGTCACTCACGGAAAGATTGTACACTTTCCACTGTGTTGTGGAAAGTTAACTTTTTTCATGTAGCTCTGACCCTCGCTAGTACAATCAGTGGCAGATTCCCTATGAAACTATGTGTGTTTCCAGGCAGAAATGAGAAAATGCTTAGCTCTCATAATTTGGTGACATTGTGGAAAGTTAAGAAGTCCCTGATGAAAGTAGACAAAACTTAGCATCATCAATTTCCTGTGGTTTGATTAAAAAGTTAAATTGCCACAGAAGGTTTCAGGAAAGCAAAGCAATCAAGTTGGTAATACAAAGGAAGGAATACCTCTTGTCTTCCATTTCCCTAATGAACCTTTCTTTCCTGTTGCCATGGGTACTGAGGAAGAAAAACATATCGATGTTTTCCTTAATGTGGTCTTGATCAGATTGATTTCCCATCCACTCTTGAATGTGATTAAAGTTTTTATACGATTCCTATTTTGACTAGCCATAATTAACCTGAATGGCTGTTAGGCAAGGGAAGAAACAAGACTGGTGCTTCTTGGACAAATAAATTAGGAATTTTGGATCTGAATTTTCCTGATGGGGAATTCCATTCCTTTCCTGAACCTTGGCAAGCATCTTTAATGATTATTACAGTAGATACCTTACAGCACAGTCAGTCCTTTAAACAAGTATTTCTCAACCTCAGTAACTTGATGATGTATAGACCTACTCTCACAATTCCCCAGTCAGCATGCTTTAAACAAACAGACCACTGCCTGAAAACATTTCATACATACATACATATATAATATGTTTATGTGAAATTAAATGTATATAATTGTTATTTTAGGGGGTGGGAGAGTTGTGTTGGGTTGTTTACCGATCACATTTTTCTCTGAGATCTGCTCAATAGGATGGGGTAGAAATAATTAATAATGGAAAGAAGGGAGGAAGACAGACCTGTCACAAAAGACACCTAATCAGTATTAACCTTGCCATTTCTTTTTCTGGAAACAGGAACAAAATTTCTTCTGACAGAGTTTGAAAGATTGTATTTCTGCCTAAATTGGTTTAAGTGTAGAGCTATAAAATATTCACCTCACAAGAACTCTCTTCCATAATGCTGTCTCAAGAATATTGTTTTGAATGTGGATAGAAGCCAAAAATTATAGGGCCTGGATATGTACCACACTTGATAAGATTATTTTCCCCCTTGTAATGTGCAGATATACTTCCATTATTGTTATGAGTGCTATATTATAAAATGAAGTATATACCTGTAGTGTATATAAATTATATAAATACTGGGTCTCTGTCATATCATGTAATGCAAGTCATATAATTACTGTTAGAATACTTTGGCCAGAGAAAGAAAATGCATACTTTTTAACCACTTTTAGAAAATGATACTTTTACACAAATACACACGCACAAAAAAACCTTCCATCAGTTTGAGAGCAGTTCTGGACCTCTGATTCCAAAATATTGGCAAATGTTTGGCAGAGGAGCTGATTTGTTTCTGGCTCAGTATTTTTTTTAATAAGGTGCAGCTCTGTAAAGTTTCTATTTTTTAATTTCTATTCAGTTATTTTTGATGACACCCTACTCCAACCATTTTGTTTTTATTTATCCATTTCCCCATTGCTGCCTCAATTTGTCTCCCTGCAGCTCAAGGTAAGGAAGTGATTTTTGCTCAGCACTGTAAGGCTAATAGATTGGTCTGAAGAGCATTTGAAGAGGAATAAATGAGACTGTATCTCATGGCATGAACATTCAGACTGCTTTTATAACAGGTTTTGTCCCTTTTTAAATCTGGCCATATTTGGAATTTATTAGACTGCCATGGCAGCAACTAGCTGGTAATATGGAGACATGAGCAAGTGGATTACAAGGTGGATGTGTGGCCTGACATTCAAAACATAAAATAATGTGATGCCATCATTCTGCCTCCCCGAAAAAACAAAAGGTAAATACCTATTTCACAAGATGGTATTTTTTCTCTCTCTTTCTTTCAGTCAGCCCACATTCCCAATTTCTTTCTTTGGACATCTATACAGTAAACACTCAGTTCCAGAGTGGAGGACAAAGAGACCCCATGCAGGAAACCAGATGCACAATATCCACCATTTCCCACTGATGCATCTTCTTACCTCTGTTCTTCACAGCAGAAGCTTTTTTGTTGTTGATTTAGGCTTTATCCTTGGTTCAAAATGGGAGTGTCTGTATGCAATGAAGATTGAACAATTAACAGCAAGGAGGCAAAAAGATCAGGTCCTTTGAAACTGATGTGGGTGGGGGGACAAGAAGAGAACAAACACTCTGGTGGACAACCATCATATTGGGACCTCAACACTATGAGATGTGCTATTCCTTCCCAAACTATTTTCAACTTAAAAACATCTCCATGCTTTGGTGGTACACAAACTGGCACATATGCGGACCAATTCTCAAAGTGTCAAAACATGAAAATTCTTTCTTCTTTCCCCAATTTTGCTACACATTAATTCACACTGATTGAATTAAAATGGAAGGATCTGGACATTAGTTCAATATAATATTAGTGTATTTTTTATTATGGGATGTGAGCATTTTTTTTTCATCCTACATTTTCTTATTAGCTTAAATTTGTTCTTGGCCAAGTAAGGAGAAGATGTACTTTAGTCCATGGGACCCCTTTTTGGACATGAATACACTTAGAATTCACTATCATCAGATGGGGTGATGGCCACCATTTAAAAAGAGGACAGGATAAATTCAATGTTGTTACAAAATTTATTCATTTATACATCATGCCTTGGTTTTAATGGCTATGTACTACTATTGAATCCTAGACAAGATGTCTTCTCCAGCTGATAGGGAACAATAGCAGAAGAAGTCTGTATTTGTGAGCTTTCTAAATGTGTTTGATTGGTCACCATGTGACACAGAATGTTGGACTGGAAGGATCTTTGTTCTGATGGAGCAAATCTATACGAATTCTTATGGGCATGCCAAGAGCAACAGTGGAAAGGCTAGAAATTTATTACTTGAAGGAAAGTACTACAACCTATGATGCCTAAAGCATCAAAAAATGTTGCACTTTTCAAATGCAATAGAAATAGTATTTGCAATCTCACGTGTCCTGACCTTGCAAAGTAATCTTTTTCAAGTAAACTGCTGTGAATTTGAGACAACTGGACAATATTCTTCCAAAGTCATTAAAAGGGAGGGTGACCTACAACGCAGAAGAAATCTTGTTTGCTTTGTTTAATTCTTTCTTTAATCAGGATGATAACATTAACAAAAATATGATTTGACTCATTTAAATATATCAATATCAAATACAAATGACCTTTTCTGGTATGACAAGCTATGTACAAGTCAAATAGCCTTTGGTGGAATTTTTAAATGATTGCCAAGACTTACTAGGGCAAAGTCAAAGATATTCAAATATAAGATTATCACCGTATGACAGAGTTTGCTTTTGAACTGGAAGTGTACTGCTTAGCAAAGGTGGCAAGTAACACAAAAAGCACACTATAGCTTTTTTTACTTTTTGCTGTATATATATATAGTTATTTACACCAGATCTTTAAAAGACAATCCTGATGTCAGGTTTCCTTTCATGTCTCCTTCCAGCAATTATTCCCTTCTATCTCTCCTGCATCCTTCCCTTTTCTCTCCAACTTTGTCATCCTTTACTGGTCTGACAAGAAACAGAGTGAAAAGAAAGAAATGAACTGGATTACTAAAATGTGCTCAGTATGTCTGGACTTTTTTCACCTCAGTTGAAACACTTTCCATTTTTGCATTGGGGAAGAACCTATCTCAAAGTCTTCTCCCCAGTTCTTCCTCACAGACCAGGGCTTCTCTTACAGCAGCTACTTCTTACTATCCTTTCTTGGGTCTTGGGTGAAGTCACCATTTGCAGCCAATCAGGTTCCTGTTTCCTGAACAGGAACCAACATGCTTCACTTCAGTCTCCAAATTCTCTTCAGCCCTTCACTCCAATGTCTTCTCCAGTTTTTCTTTTCATTCCTGCTACATTTATTCTCCTTTCCTTTTCCCCACTCCTTTTCTAGAAACCTATCTCTAATTTTTTGCTTAAAAGGCAGCATGTCCCATAGCAACTGAGAAGATGGGTTTCCCCCCAGGATTGTAATCCCCAACACCTATATACTTTGCTGCCCAATGGACTGCTGTCTAAAATCTCGCTACCAGCTAGGTCAGTTCATCAGGCCTCGTGCTAGCATAGTTGTCCTTTTCTCCTTTTTTTCCCACTCCCAAAACTGGCTCACGCCAGCAAAACAGCAGCCAGGCCAGGCTACAAAATCCATATGCCACAAAGATACATTCACATATTTTTCAAATGATGCCTCCTCCACACCTCCTGCCAAGATACATCACACATCGTATAGTCCTTTGCTAAAATGTTTGTTGGTGCTTCTCACTCTCCCAAGTTGTCTAATTAATGTAACAATGGCATCTCTTGTCTGAGAAAGTATGGACAGAATAACAAAAGTATAATTTACAACATTTCTCAAAAAAACCCAGATATTTTGGTGGCAATATTTCTTTTTAAATATAAACTCCAACAAGCCTCCCCAAAACACATACAACACCCTTCTGATATATTTTATACAGTACAGGGCTTAGAAATCATTGTGGACATGTTCTGACTTCCTGTATTTTTTCTATACCATAACCAGATTTGAAAAACTCCCAAAAGAAAAAAAAATGCAAAGTCATCAGTGAAGATGCTCCAGAATGCTGTTGATGGATGCAACTTTTGATTTCTGTTCCCCTGGCCTCTTTTTTGGCATTAATATTTAACTTGAAATAATAAAATAATCATCTTAGGTTGTTCAACTGGTTATAACTAGATAATGCATAAAAACACACATCAGTAAAGGACACAGAGACAATAGCAAAGTGTGTTGTCCCCAAAAAATATTATTAAAAAGAAATATTTGACAATTTTAGAAACAAGAAGCAGGGAATTAGAGATATATCACATGAAAACTAATCATGGATACATCAGTTCTTTGAGCCTTGGGCTATGGAATAGTTAAGAAAAATATTGTAACAAGCAGATCTAATTAAGATTATATTGGTGGGACAAATAAATAACAGCAATATAGTTCATGTGTGGTTTTCAAGCAACAGGAATATTAAGAAACTGGAAGAGACTATTGGAGAGAGACTACCATGCAAATCTGAAGATTCTATTACTCTAATTTTAATTGTCACTGATACAAAAAAAAGGATGCTGTCATAAAGCTTTTTACAGTACATTCAGACACATTTCACCAACATCATGAGGTGGCACAGCAGTTAGAGTGCAGTACTGCAGGCCACTTTAGCTGACTGTGTTCAGCAGGTCAGCGGTTCAAATCTCACCGGCTCAAGGTTGACTCAGCCTTCCATCCTTCCGGGGTAGGTAAAATGAGGACCCAGATTGTTGGGGGCAATGTAAATATATATATACATTGCTTACTGGTGTACACCGCTTAGAGAGTGCTTGCACTTAAAGTGGTATATAAGTCTCATAAATAAATAAATAAATAAATGTGTGGTTAACAGGCTAGCAGGGCTTGTTAAGAGGTTCGGGTATGTCCTCACATTGAACTAATAATAATATTAAATATATTTAATTAGCATTAAATGCCAATATCTTAATGTAATCTTAACTTTCCTAGCAGTTATGCTCAAAAGATAAGTGCCAAGGACTTCAGATAAAAGTGAACATTTGCTCTGGAACCATAAGAACTGGAAAAATACACAAGGTCATGTGTAATACACAAGGAGGGGCATTCTCCAGCCCTTCCTCCCCCCTCCCCGATAATTTGCTTTCTCCATAGTCTTTGCCATTTATGAAAATATAAGACTACCATGCTCACTGAACAGAGTTCAATCCAGTTAAAGTGAGAAAGAGCTATATTGGGCATATTTACTTAAGATAGGCATGCTTATATAAGGTTTTTTTTATTGTGTAAACAATAATATAGCAATAGAATGAAATCTAACCACAAGATCAGTTGAAATTAATGAGGCTTCATTTAATGTAAGCTCCATTAATTTCAATATGTCTGTTCTAAGCAGAGTAAATCTGCATTTACATAATAGTGAAGTCCTGTTGGAGATTACACAGTAAATCAACTATGTACAAAATGCTGTCAAGGTATGAACATTTCCTATAATTTGTTGGAAAGCATGTGCCAGAAATACATATTTTTTCTCTTTATACCCAGATTATGAATATATTTATAAATTCTACTTGTATACATTTATGTTCACAATGATCTTATCTCACTGTGTACAAATCCTTCATCATATGTTTGACAATCCAAGAATGAGAACAACTGGATATTTTGGGCTGGCATTTACAATTTTTTGATTAATGTTCCTTTTTTAATTTATTTTTTCACAGAAAATTAAAATACAAACTCCAAAGGAAAAAAAAACAAGAAAAAAATTACAAAAATGAGACAAAACTAAACTAAATCATTAAAAATGTGGATTAAAAGACAAAAAACAAAAACTTGTGTTATCCTCCCTAGTTGAGCACTGACAAATATGTTACAGCAATAGTAGCTTTCTCCCCTTACAAAGAGGTCTAAGATTTATAAACTTCTACATCTATTAGTAACCAATTCACTTGTGATACATCTATTATACCATATAGATGTAGAAAAAATAGTTAACAGATTAATCAACAACAAAATTAAACTTCAAAACTCTGTGTTAACAATTTGTAATCGTAATTAACTCTTAGAAAGTCTACCACAGTTTCTTATCTACCACAAATCACCCCAATCATCATCTCTGATCAAATATATTCATTTGACACTTAATAATAAAATCATTCCTTAGATTACTCTGAGTAATAATGCTATTAGTTAAGGATTTTCCCAATAATTGCATCTCATTCACTAGTGCAATTAGTCTTTGATGTAAATATCTCTGCAGCACCCATTGTTCAAACACAGCAGTCATCTTCCCAGAGAATCCAGTCCATCACACATCAGTTCCATTATCTCTGAATTTCTTGTGTCCTTTTTCATCTTTTCTGCCAAACCTACAACAGATCAGTTTTTCTTCACCGTGTCTGGCAGCAACAAATCATATTCCAATTCATCAGATTACAAATCAAGTCCAATTTTTATTTTCTGATTTTGGGTACCATCCTGGGTTTCATTCAGAACTGTTGTGAACCCATCAAATTGTTTATTTATATCTGTGCTTTTAATATGGTTTTATGTCAGTGGTGGGATTCGAATATGTGAACAACTGGTTCTCTGTGTGGATGCCGCTTCCAGAAGTCCATTCTGGGCCTGGGCAACAAAAAATTAGCTACTGGTTCTGCTGAAGTGGCATGAACCGGCTGAATCCCACCACTGTTTTATGTGCATCATGCTTAGTCAAGAAAAGTAATATTGGAATAAGGAGAACAAAAATGATTCCAAAAGGAAATGACAAGGATATAGCATCTAAGGCACAGAATCATACCCCAGTCTTAAACAATTCTATTTGTACAGATCTACAATTTGTTGAGGATGCCAGTAATGTTATTTGAAATGAATAGTCTGTATATTGTGATAAGTATGCAGCTGCTAAATCCTACCCATACAATCAAGTCACAAGCTACTCTGAAACAGAATGATTGGCAATGTAGACACTACGGCAAAGGATATGTATAAGGTGACCAACTATTTTACAATAAAAAGGAGGACACAAATAAATTGAAGAAAAAATATCATAAATAAAATAAACATTTTATTCATTGCAACAATAATACAGATATATGATAAATGCATAATAAAAACATTTGTAACATTTTATATTGTAACTATGCTTACATGCCTATTAATTATTATTTAAATGAGTACTTTTACATTGAATGAATATTTTTTGTCAATGTATCATCTTCTAACAATATATTAGAAATATCTGAACAAGCAATATCCTTCATATTGAACTTTACAGCAAGTGCTGCAGCTAGAGTATCAACATTCAATCTCGATTTCTCACTTTTCCAAAAATCATTAGCACTTGAAAAAACCCTTTCAACTGCTGCATTAGTTCCAGGGCAGCACAACGTAAATTGAACAAGAATAAATAAATTTTTACATGGAATATGTTCATTTTTGAAATGGCTGAATATTTCCACCCATCTTTTATCAATTTCAAAGTGTTTATTTTCCCATTGTATTAATTTTTCAGAATTTAAAAATACATTCAGTCTTTTAATTTCTTCAAAGAGACAATTGTCGTCTATTTTAATGTCTGGCATTTCTTTAGATTAAAAACTCAACACAAGATTCAATATCTGTCCAATATACTTGCGATGAAGTCAAAAAACACCATTGAAAACTTATTTCCTATGATGTTTGTTTCAGACCATTCTTCGATATATTGAAAACATGTTTGATAAAAATTCTGCACTTCTTTGACAAACTTTTCCATTATGCCCGGATTTGATTCCTCTAAGTCTGACAATTTTCTTTTTATAACTAAAGGAAGAAATTTTTCTTCAAATCCAGCTTTATATTGAAGGATAAAGTCATTCAAAATAAGACTAACATCTGTAGCTGAAATGTGTTCACCTTCAATCTTTTGAATCATTTTGTGAAAAATAGATGCTTGATTATGTACAAAATACATTAATATCTCAGATATTTTATTATTGAAAAACGATTCCAGGATTTTAGGACATTTGTCTAAACTTAAAAAATATGAATGGAGAGGCTCAAATAATTGTAGAACACGCTCCATAGCAGGTGTTAGAACAAGCCATCTAACTTTTGAAATCCTAAAAATTTTTTGTATTGAACATTCGCTTCTTCACAAAATTGTTTTAAAGCAGCCACACAAACTGTAAAACGACTAAAATACAAATAAATTGTAGTTATTATTACTTCTACATCAATTGGCATGGCACATGATGCCGTGTTGATTGCATTTGACAAAATATGTGCATTACAACCTATTCCTAGTATTTTCTTTTGGAGTAAATCTTGCAATTTTACATACACATTATTCACCCCTTTGTGTCTTCGCCCACCAACATTTGTGTTTGTGTTATCAGCTGTTAGTGCAACAACTTTGATTTTCAAATTGTTTTCATTTATTACTCTGTATAGATGTTTTGACAAAATTTCAGCAGTTTCGCCCTCAATGGATTCTAAATTTAAATTTTTTACTTGAATGCCCTTGGTAACATTAAAATAACTTACTAGTATTGGATACAATTTAGTTTCATTATGATTGGATGCATCAGATAAAACAGTTACAAATGCTGCAGTTTCCAAGTCTTCTGTAAATATTTTGTTACAGTAATTTTTAAATACTGATTTAATAATAGCCTCGCATTTTGTCCTGGCGCATGAAAATTTAGCATCGTGAAACTTTTTCAATAATTTAGTTGTACAATCCATACTACGAAAACTTTGATTGTGAATTATGGTATGGTATGGAATGCAAATGTTCCCTCCATTGCAGCTAACTGTTTTTCATCTTCAGAATACTTTGAAGTTTTAAAAAAACTTGTTACTTTACAACTGGAAGCAGATGCATCTGATGATTGCTTATGTTTCTTGGTGGTCAAGTGTTTCATAATAGCTGCTCTGCCCCCAACTGCAATACAAAATTCTCTGCTGCAAATATTGCAGAAAACAATGTTATCCTTCTTTGATGTGATGAATGGAAATTCCTTATTAAATTTATCGTTGAAATGGCATTTCCTCTTTTTTGATTTTTCCATCCCTAAATGGAAGTTAGTCTCCTCCAGGTATCTTCGGGACTAACTAGGAGATGGTGTAGTTGGGTAGCAGGGGGGGGGGTGCAAAGTTTCTGTCAATTCGCCTTCGCTGCAGACAACTTGCATGTTGTCTGCAGCGAAGTTTACCAGCCGGATGTTTTGGCGCACTCAGCAGCAATTCCTATTGGCTTTCAAAAGCCAATAGGGGCAGTAGCCCAGCTTATGCAAAAGCTGAAAAAAAAACCATCAAAAAAAGGTGCCGGAACACGGTTCTGAGTGTTCTATGAGAAAAAAAAAAAGTCCTGCAGATTAGTCTTCAAATATCGAAAAAGAGGACATGTAGGAGGACACGTTTCAAGGGAGGACAAAACTTACAAAAGGAGGACTGTCCTCCCTAAAGGAGGACAGTTGGTCACCTTAATATCTACCTTGATAAGATTTTGATATATTTACAGAGAGCAAAGTGAATTGGTTACCGGAGATTAGAGTTTCATTGTTGAATTATGATAACCTGTTATTCAGATGAAGGTGGGTACTACTCCAGTAGCTATAAAATAGCAACATGATGTAGAGCAGGCACAGCACAACTGGTGCATCTTTGGTGGAATGAGCAGCATGAAGCATCTAGCAATTCTCTTCACGCTTGTGGCTTTTTCTGAATGTTTTGTTCAGTCAGTCCTCATTTTATTACTAATATTTTCATCACTGACAGCTGCAATTGTTTGCTTGTTTAATTGATTTATTCATGAACTTTCTATTCTGGCAATACAGGGGAGATAAACTATGGATAGTATATTCAGATTTAAAATTACATTGTTATTTTAATACAATACAATGCAAAAAGAAAGCAGTCAATATTAAAACCATTATTATATATTTTTGGTTTTACTAAGATGTGAAAGTCATCTTAAATATTACCTAAATCAGATACTAAATATCTAGAAACTGGTTAAAACTTTCAGCTAATGCTTTTAAAGTTTAAAGGTAGAATAAATTAATTTGCAGCATTTTCTTTAGGCAGCCGTATCATCTCTTACATTTTTGCAAATCATTTGGGTGTATTGTTTATTATGTTCATGAGTGTAGGCTGTATTGATATTTTTGCTGCTGGAGTCAAGTTGAAAGCCCATGATGTTTGATTTAAATCCATAACTGTTTTTATTTAATTTAGAGATAGGGTGGATGACAATGTGAAGCAGACTGTTTTTTTTTTTTTATTAAAAGAAACACATGTATAGGAGAGGAATAACAACATAGAATCTATTCATTTTGTTCTTCTATGCCAGGGTTCCCATCTGGAAAGGAGAGAAACTTAGAGATATTCTTAGAAGGAATAATTTGCTGGAAAAACTTCTGCAGGAACATCATTATGACATTGCTACTAAGTACACCAAACATTCTCCAGTTGTTTTCAATCCTGGTCAGCTAGCTGATGAACCACTCCTGAACTATTTAGATGTGAGTTGCTGGTTTTCTTTTGATTTGCCAATAGAAGAGAATATATGAAGCTCAGGGTTGAACTGTGGAGTCCTTGGTGCTCTCTAGCTTGCAGCCATGTGTGCAGAGAGTATGTTTTGATATGGAAAAACTTTTTCCCAAATATATGTTATTAATTGCCTGTGATAAAAACTGATATTTGAACAATTTTGAAAACTGAAAATTATTTTACCATTATAGATGTCAAAGTGCAGGTGAAGTAATGCTAGCTCAATTACTCTTATTTATGTAGCTAAAAGGGTGACACACGGAGATAGGATTTACATATTCTGTTTATTCATTTGGTTTCTATTTGTGTAATTCCTACCTTTTTGTATTATTCCCTTCTGTAGATGTTTTTTCTCTTGCTTTATTTCATGTTTATCTAATGCATCAATATTAAAATATTGAAAAAAAAGATCTACTGTACTCAGGTCTTCCAACATATATTTATTATTTACAAATTAACAGTCCCAGTACTATGGAACAATCTACATTGGAACACCACCACAGGAATTCACTGTTGTGTTTGACACTGGATCATCAAATCTCTGGGTACCATCTGTTTTCTGTAAAAGTCAAGCATGTAGTAAGTAATTATCTTCATCAGAGTAGATCAAATGGGTTCATAGATGTACTAAATTTCATTATATTTACTGGATAGCAGTGATAGCTATCAAAGATGCAGTTTCATTGTATCATAGCCAGAAAATCCTGCAAGATGAAAAAAAATTGCTTGAAGTCATTACTCTAATGAAGAAATTCTCTAAACAGGGATGCGGATCAGATAATGGTATGAGATGCTTTGCTCCCTGAAATCTCACCAAGCTGTCCTGAAGGAAGCCATTGTAGCAGAACACAGCTAGCACTGGCTTTCTTAAAAATGAGGAAACCCATTTTGCAGCCCAGAGGGAAAAGCATTTGACACAGGATGGCCTGTGCTTCTGTGGGGAGGACATCTTGTCTGCCTCATTTCTCTCCTCTCACTGCTTTTTACCACTGTGCTGGCTTGAAAAGCGGACCAAACAATAACTTAAAAGAACAAAATAAGGATCATTATCATGCTATTGTGATGATCCCAGGAGTAGAAATATGCTTATTTCATTTCATTTCATTTTTTAAAAGATTGGTGGAAGGATACAGGGTTAGGCAAGAAGTGGGCAGGATAAAGCAGTTGATACCAATGGAATATATATAGCTCAGGGTTCAACGGTGGAATTCTTGGTGCTCTCTAAACTTGCTTGGTTTCTTGCAGACATTTTTTTACTTGGTGAGGCAACATCTTCAGTGCTAGCACTGAATAAAACATTTGCAAAAAAAAAAACAAAAAACAAAAAACAAAAAAACCCCCCAACCAAGCTAAAAGAGCTCAAGGACTCTCCAAAGCAGTTGATTTCTGGTCATCTTAGTGCTGGTTACTTTGCCTTTCTCTGTTCAAGGCTGTCCATAAAGGGCAGATACTGATTGGCTGGGCATTCGCAACCCTATAAATGTTCCATAACAACATATGTATCCAAGATTCAAAAAGATTTAGAATGGTAGGGGACAGCATCCCATGAACTTTAAATTAGAATCAGGAAAGTTTGGCAGTGGGATTTTAGGAATAAGGCCCACTGAGCACAATGGAATTTGGCTTCTAACAATAAGCATGCACAGCCTTTGGGTAGCAATCTTCTAAGAAATATGTTCCACTGAATATTATGGGATTTGATATATGACTGTGTAGGCAAATTTTAATTTAATTTAATTTGTAAAAGCGTAGGGTAATTGTCAGTAAAAGGTTTCAAGATAGTAATTAAAATCAATTTCCTTATTTGAAGACTGACACAAAGAATAACAGATCATATTTTACAGAAGTAACATTCTTTTTAATATTAAGTGACATTCCTCTAGTAAATAATTCTATCCACTAGTTTTATTAACCATTTATGTGGCGTTTCTTTTTAATAGGCTAATAATAAACAGAAACCATTTCCTTTTAATAGGCGAATAATAATATATTTCAAATGCTCTGCACTGTGTAAAATGTTGCAATGTTTTTCTTCAGGAAGAAATTTATATTATACTAAGCTTGATACCCACCATTGATTAAAAGCTGTTTTAATATTAATTAATGACTGGTGTCATTAAATTTTTTTTGCATTGTTTTTTACATTTAGGAAAACATCAACAATTTAACCCAAGCCTTTCTTCTACTTTCAAGAGCACACAACAGTCTATGGCCATTGCCTATGGCACAGGAAACATGGAAGGCATATTAGGATATGACACAGTGAAGGTAAACCCAGCATTCTATAGGTACCTAAAAGATGAGAAGATAATAAATGGCTAACAAAGTCTATTTCTAATAATGTTGTGGTTCATAGCAATTCTGGGAGTTAAAAAAATATATTCCTAATTCTCCTTCCTTTCTCCTGAGGTTTTAATACAGTAGTGTCAACAGTATAAGAAGATTCTTTTTGAACTGGTAGTAAGGGTGGCAATTGATGCAGTAAAACAGTGGAAGCTTTTATGCTTTTTTACTATTCGCAATGAGGCTGTTTACAATATATTTACAACTCAGTCTCCCATTTCTGAGCTTGACAAAAGAGAGAGAGAGGGAGGAGGGAGGCAGGGAGGCAGGGAGAGGGAGGGAGGCAGGGAGGGAGAGAGAGAGGGGGGGGGAATGAAATGGAAATTTCCTGTACTATGTTAAGCACTGCTTGACTTTTTCCTGAATCTGCTCAATTGAAGCTCTACTGCCTCTCCACTTGGGAAGCAGTAGGTCTTCCAAAAAGACCAGAGCTTTACCAGTGATTGACTATTCCATCCTCTCTGACTTGGGTCTTGGGTAGAGTTCTCATCCCTCAGAGTCTTCATTTCCATTCTTCCAGGAAAGCTACTCTTGGATCTTTTTTTTTCTTCTTCTTTCTCAACTGACTGAGAACTTTCTCCAACTTTTCTCTCCAGTTACTCCACTCACTCTGTGCACAGACTTTTTCTGCTCTCTCTGTCTCTCTCTGCTCGCTACATGTTGCAGTTTGAGAAAATTCATTCTTGATTAAATAGAATCTTGGGTGTATAAAGAAAGCAATTAAAAAAAAAAACCAAAAACCCTAAACAGATGCTTTCATCCTCACGGTGGGTATTGCATTTAAAACTTGGTACAGTTTGTAATGTTATATGTTATGTGTATATGGGTTGAGATATTAAGGAAAACTTTATCCATATCCAATGAATATTCGTGGAATCCTTGAAAAAATGGAAATGAGCTTATTGAATTTAATGGGGTCCTTTTGATTAAACAGGGTCATCCAGTGGTAGATATCTGGTAGTGTCTAGGAAGGGCACCTTTTCTTTCCTCACATCTGCCCTCTGGGCCAGCATTTCCCCAGAGATTTATATGACCCTCACCCCGATGATGTTCAAGAAATCTCTGAAACCCTGACTGTTCCCTGGGCATAGGATGGATGTTTAACCCTATAGCATTACATTTGTCCAGGGAATTGTTTGCTCTGGATGTGCATGGTTTATGCTTCTTATTGGTTCTCTTTGTTACCATTTTAAAAAGTTGTATACTATCTAGAGCAGGGGTCTTCAAACTTGGCCCTTTTATGACTTGTGGACTTCAACTCCCAGAATTCTTCAGCCAGGCATGCTGGCTGAGGAATTCTGGGCGTTGAAGTCCACAAGTCATAAAAGGGCCACGTTTGAAGACCCCTGATCTAGAGTTCAACCTCCCATGTTACATTATGGTACCTGAGCATATTAGAGATAGCAAAGCAAGGTTGTTGTGGGTAATGGTTCAAAAAAAAAATATCCAGATGACAGTCACAACTAGGTGATCAAAGCTCCTGACCTTTTTAAAAAAAGAGGTGGGGTTTCAAATTCATGGTTATGGGCACCAACTTGACTTCACTGACCCAGCCCATCAATATCCCAGTAACAAGGTCAAATCTTATGCTCATTTCTGCAAAGGACAGAAAAATGACAGAAATGACATGCAAAGAGTAGCTCACACTAAGTTCTATGCATGATGCCAGCAGCTACACATTTGCCTTAGAGCCTGAGAGCATAATGAAATAGAATTTATACTGGTTTGGGGGCGATTCAGCCTCTTCAGTAATTTTAATTAATTAGTAAAAAGCCCTGGCTGGCTCAGTTATTGTCTTGAAGCCATGATAGTTATTACTTTAATTGTGTTCTGAAGAATATGAGCATGGGCTTAATTTATTTATTTATTTATTTATTTATTTATGAGACTTATATACCGCTTTTAAGTGCAAGCACTCTCTAAGCGGTGTACACCAGTAAGTAATGTATGTATATATTTACATTGCCCCCAACAATCTGGGTCCTCATTTTACCTACCTCGGAAGGATGGAAGGCTGAGTCAACCTTGAGCCGGTGAGATTTGAACCGCTGACCTGCTGAACACAGTCAGCTAAAGTGGCCTGCAGTACTGCACTCTAACTGCTGCACCACCTCGGCTCATGAGGGTGGCCATCACTCATGATACCAGTATTAAAAGTCTGCTCTGCAGTTCACCAGGTTAATAGATAAAGGAATACTTTGTTTCTCTTTTAGGTGTCCAGCTACATTGATACCAATCAACCTTTTGGTCTGAGCACTGTAGAGCCAGGAACCATTTTTACCTATGCAAAGTTTGATGGAATCCTGGGCTTAGCCTACCCCACAATTGCAGTTGACCAAGCAACTCCTGTCTTTGATAATTTGATGAAAGAAGGTTTAGTGCAACAAAACTTGTTTTCTGTTTATCTCAGCCGGTAAATAATATTTTTATCTACCAGTTGTTGTTAGTGGTTGAAGGAAAATGCACAATGGAATATATTTCTTTGACAGCTCAGTTATGTCACCTGAATAACAAAGAGCTGTGCTGTAGTCTTAAAATGTATGAGATGGCCAAGAGTTGTAGTTCTAAAAAAAATTAACAACAAAGAATAAGACAGCTGTTATTCTACTGTGCTTGTATTTGTGTAAAGGCCAATCTTCTCACGGCAAAATGTCTATGGGGATTATCAATCATCCTGGTCACAGTTGCCCCAAAGGTGCTTTTCCAAAAGGCAACTGGACTTTCTTGGTTATTTCCTTGAAAATGTTTTGCTTCTCATCCAAGAAATTTCTTCAGTTCAGAAGAAGCTTCTTGAATGAGAAGTTAAACATTTTCAAGGAAAAAAAACAAAAAAGTCCAATTATCTTTTGGAAAAGCACTTTTGGGACTTCTCATGACAAGTTCTCTTGATGATTCTGCATTAAGTTTAAAATAGCATGGGATCCCTCTGATTCCACAATGTCTCAGCTGTCTACTAACAGCAGTAGTAGAGAGCTGAGCCAATGGGTTTCTGGCCAACTATGGTTTTGCTGAAATTGATGTTTCCTTTTGCAATTCTTTGAAAACCTGGAACTCCATAGAGTTTATGAATAGACAAATTTTTTATTAGGGAGATTTTCTATCCTGGCTCCTGGGCTTGAGCTGTTCTACCTGGTTCTTTGCAGAAAATGGTGGTTTGATGACTTTGCTGTTTAACCACCCAGACTTTTTTTTTTCATGGGCAAATATGCACAAAGTGAAGAAAAGTCTTGAACAGATGGGTGGAGTGGGAAACTGCAAGCCATTCCTTTTGTTGTTGTTTTTGTTACATGCGAGAATGAGGAATCTTTTTTTAATTTTGGGACATGGGACACTTAATGTGCATCAAATGGCTTGACAACTTCATACCATATATTCATGTTTCAGAAAAGCATCTGGGAGCGTGATCACTTTTGGTGGAATAGATCATTCTCATTATACTGGTTCTATTAACTGGATACCAGTGAGTCAACAAACATACTGGCAGATTTCAATGGACAGGTAAGCAGGATTTGCTATAAGTACTATTATTTAGATAGAATAAAATATATATTATTATATATATAGATTGAGTTCTTTATTACTACTGTATTGGACATTACTGTTGGACACCAGAAAGTTTTATCAAATACTTTTAAGATTCATAAGGGATAAGAAGGGATAAGAAGTGAAAAGAAAGAAAGAAAAGTCAAGCTCACAACTGCTGGAACAAAAATGTTGATTACACATAGCATATTACATACTGGAAAAGCAGAGTTTCCTGCTCTAAAGAGCTTCCCAGCTACATTTATTATAACTGCTTTCTGCAGTTTCAAGCTGATATCCTGGTTTAGCCTTGTCTAATTATATAGTATAGAAAGTATTAGTCACCCTCATGTTAATTTCTTAAGGAACACAGTATTTATATTTTAATAAGTGGTAGCTTTTTTATTTCTAGTATCACCATCACACAATTTCTGTTTCTTAGTGTTTTAGTGAATGGTGAGACGATTGCCTGCAACAGTGGCTGTCAAGCAATTGTTGACACAGGTACCTCCCTCTTGGCTGGTCCACCATCCTCCATAAATAGTATCCTAAATGCTATTGGAGCTAATCAGGGGCAGGTAAGATTAAACCCCTTATTCTCTGCCATTGTATTTGCAATTCATTACATTTGAAAGACTCTTCTATTCATCCTCATCACACTGATGTCTGTACAATACCAGGGTGTGAGAGGTTAGGTGTAGAAATATGTAGATTGGTAGATATCTGATTTGTATTACTGCTCAGTTTGCATTGTGGATTTCCACTTCAGCAAATTTCTGCCTATATATTTCATTAAAATTCAAATATAAATTTGATAGTCCTGTTAGGATAAAGTTGTATTTTCCTCATAAAGTATATGAGATGACCATAGATTATGGCTCTAAAAAAAAATAAATAGTAAAAATATTAAATCTCCCTAGAAATTGTTTTTTTAAAAAACAAAACTAAACACACCACATCCTGTGTTTATCATGTAATCAAAGTAATGGAAATTATCTCAATTTGCAAGGTGGTGTTTACCTCAACCATAACACTTAATGTCTATGGAGATTCTCAGTCACCCAGCTCATGGTTGTCACAAAGATGCTTTTTCAAAAGATAATTGGATATTTTTTTGTTTTTCCTTGAAGATGTTTAGTTTCTCATCCAAGAAACTTCTTCAGTTCTGAACTGAAGAAGCTTCTTGGATGAGAAGTGAAACATCTTTAAGGAAAAACAAAGAAAGTCCAATTGCCTTTTGAAAAAGAACCTTTGAGACATAACACTTAATAAACATAATAATGAGTTACCACTTAAGACAGCAATTTTGCTTTCTTGAGATTTCATATGTGGAGCAAAAATGTTGCATTTTGTGATTTTTTTAAAAAAAATATTATATGTTGTGTTCATAATAATTCAATAATACTCTTCCTTGTTTTGTATAGTCTGTAATCAACTGCAGCAATCTCTCCAACATGCCTGATGTTGTTTTTGTGATCAATGGAATCTACTATCCATTGAAGCCTTCAGCTTATACTCAACAGGTACATAGTAGATTTGGATTTATACTCAATGCCTGATTACACCTAATTTCATGCAGATTAGAAGTCCCAGGCAAGAGATAAAAATAGAAATTTGGAAGCAATCTTTTGTAAGAATATTAGTAATGCAGTTAGGTCACAAGGGCTGGAGATCCTCTTTTGAGGTGCATCTCAAATTCAAGGATAAAAGTGCTCTTTGGAAGAGCAACCATACCTGCAGATACTATGACATTAACATAGATTTGATTCTTGAATAAGGTTTTTGATTTTTGGTAATTTTGTCCTGCCAGTTACGTGCTTATCACTGTCAAGATTTTTTGATCCAAAAGTTGCAGTATGATGTCAGGTGTTGCAAGTGTTTGTTTAGCTATTCCAGGAAAGACAAAATGTGGAACAAAATAATGCTGTTTTTCCCTCAGTTCCTTTTGCATAGAAAATTGCAAAATCTCACTTTCTGCATTTTCTTTTTAAGACCACAGTATGTGTTTTTGCAATGGCAATGAGAAAAAAAAAGCTGCTCATTGTTCAAATTTTAGCTACTTGAAGTCAGAGGATTACACTAAAGGAAAAAGAGCGGTGTATAATTTAGATGAGTGCTTCTTAATCTCTAGATCAGGAGTCCACAACTCCTGGTCCACGGACCAGCACTGGTCCACAACATGCCAGCAACCAGGCTGTACAAACAAGTGAAGCCCCATCCGTGGGATGCAGGCAGCACGCAAAACCATAGTCCCTCTGGTTCATGGAAAAACCTTTCTCCACAGAACTGGTCCCTGGTGCCCAAAACATTGGGGGCCGCTGATCTAAATAGAACATGATCTATTTTATGTGGAAAATACATGAGATATAAAGCTGTAGTCTGGCAAGTTTTACTTCTCTTTTATTCCAGATACTGCTATGTCCAACTATCCTAGCACACCACAGTTATGTTTCCACAATAAAATGAAAAGCACAAGAATAGCAGTAAAACAAAGGCCCAAATCTGATGTGCTTGGAAGATCCTTCCCAGCATACCTGTCAAGTGCTAGGGAAATTAGAAGATTCAGGCAGTTCAAATGAGTATAAAGATTTATTGCAAGCCTAAGCTCGCTACAAAATCTGAGCTACTAATGTCAAAAGAAATGAGCAGGAATTAAGAGGCATTAAAGGTGGGCTGGAGTTAGAATTAGATCTCTTCTGGGTTTGCAGAGACTCGCAAGGACTCATGACTTATGAAACATTTGACCCCTCCCTCAGATTCAGCCTGGTTATTTCCTATAATTCCTGGCATCTCTGCACTAGACTTACCAAATATTTTTTTTTAAAAAATATATTAAAAATATTTTATTGACTTTTAACAATTGCAATCTTTAGTGCTTAGTAAATAATGTGTTGTCTGGGTTCACATATTTAACATTAACTTCTTCAATATAAATCTATTCAATACTGCACAATCCAGTATTTTTCCCCTGATTTTCCTTTCTTCCCAAATTGTTTACATTTCCCCAACACTATGCAAATGCCATTCTTGCTACTATTAATACATACAAAATTGAATATAAGCATCCTCATCATATTTTCTAGTGTTATACAAATAACAATAATATCAGTTTATAACCTCTTTTCTAACCAATTTATATTTCAAATGTATTTGCAATTAAAATCTCCTTATTAAATCAATATCCTGTTTTTCATGTTCTTATTTAAGTTTAATTCCCCATCAATATTCAAAATATCTTTGTCAATTATGGTTTTCTCAAGATTAGTTACATTTATGTAGTTAAGAGTTTTATTTATAGATGCCAACCTCGTATTTTCATATTTCCCTTATCAAAAAAGTGCTATAATAATAATAATAATAATAATAATAATAATAATAATAATAATAATAATAATAATAATAACGTTGGAAGGGACTTCGGAGGTCATCTAGTACAATCCCCTGCTCAGGCAGGAAACCCTATACCATCTCGGATAAATGGCTGTCCAGTTTCTTCTTAAAAACTTCCAGTGTTGGAGCATTCACTGCTTCTGGAGGCAGGTTGTTCCACTGCTTAATTGTTCTGTCAGGAAGTTTCTCCTTAGTTCTAGGTTGCTTCTCTCCTTGCTTAGTTTCTACCCGTTGCTTCTTGTCCTGCTTTCTGGCGCTTTGAAGAATAGCTTGACTCCCTCTTCTATGCGCCAGCCCGAGATATTGGAACACTGCTATCATGTCCCCCCTCGTCTTTCTCTTCATTAAACTAGACATACTCAATTCCAGCAACCGTTCCTTGTATGTTTTAGCCTCCAGACCTCTAATCATCTTTGTTGCTCTTCTCTGTACTCTTTCTAGAGTCTATAAATCATATTTTTCTTATTATAAAAGTCTAATTACATCTAAGGGTTATCTATCCTTTTAATCATATTCAAACAAATATTTAATCATGTAATGTCCCCTCTAGTAGATAAAATCTTCTATTTTTTCAGTCTAACTCAGCTGCTCTGTTAATGTAAGAGTCACTGAGCAGCCAAGAAGCTAGGTTATTATCTGTTTCTCAGTTTCTCTATATCCATTTTCCACTCTTAAAATAGAAGGTTGATTTCTTATATTTCACGCCACTATTTTTTCAAAGAGAAAATCTTAACAATTATCTCAGTTCTCAAATTTACCAAAGCTGTAATTTTATATTATTTCCACTTCAGTATTATGTATTTCTGTCCCTCATAAAAAGATTAAAATGCTGCTTCCGTCCCCTTCCTTCTCACGTTCGGAGGTTTTTAGCTTCTTGGGAGCCTTTTCCAGGAAATTCAGTTGAAAATAGTAAATAAAGGATCAATATTGTCACCCAGTTGCAAACACGTTGATCTGCTAGTTAGTGCTTTGTTTCTTTGGTTGTCAGTAGCTGAAGGCTGGCCACAGGGATGCAGCCAGTCTTTCCCCTGCTGATTTGGAGGCTTTCCTCAGATCGAACAGAAAGAACACCATCTCTCTATGATCAACAAGGCACCCCTCCTTCTTCATCGCCTCTTCGGAGTGACTTTAGGGCCAACAGCAGGGTGAAATCAGGTGTGGAAAGAAGAGCTCTGCCTTCCTGTGTCAGTATCGCTGGAAGTCAAACTGGAAGTCCTTGTTGTTCGTTGTTGTTGTTAATTGCGAAGTCATGTCCGACCCATCGCGACCCCATGGACAATATTCCTCCAGGTCTTCCTGTCCTCTACCATCTTCTGGAGTCCATTTAAGTTCACACCTACTGCTTCAGTGACTCCATCCAGCCATCTCATTCTCTGTCGTCCCCTTCTTCTATACCAAATATTGATGCCTGCTGATAATATACTAAAAGATCTTATCAAATTCAACTCTTCAAATATGTTGGATTATAATTCTAAGAATTCTAGAATAGTATGGGCCCTAATTTTAACTCTGCTATCAGGGAATTCCAGGCATTGTCCCCCCAAAGTGAGTAACCCTGCCTATGTTATCTATGCCTGGGGTTTATTGATTAGTGAGTCCCTTTAATGCAATCAGTACGCCAAAACAATAACACAGAATCAATCAATTGTGAAAAAAATAAGCTGCCAAGGAATTTTCTCCATGATATTATTTCAGGGCTTGATGGATATGTGGAAATCAGAGTCCACTTCCAATCCTGAATCTCCTTATAGTTTCTACATGTGTGTTTAGTGAATTAGTCAATTTTTGAGTTCACATATTATTTAAACAATAAACAAATGGAATAAGCTGATTTGTACAACAAGCTACAAAGAATCAAGCCAATATTTAGAGTAGAACAGAACAGAACAGAATAGAATAGGAGCTGGAAGGGACCTTGGACGTCTTCTAGTCCAGCCCCTTGCTGAAGCAGGAGAACTTATACCATTTCAGACAAGTGACTGTCTAGTTTACACTAACCAATCTGAAAAGTTTTTAACTGATTTCTCAACAATGTTATCTCCTGAAAATTTATACTCTTGATATTAATAACTCTTAACATAAATATCTTATTTATTAACGTCTTCCTGGATTAAAAGGACAGTAATACAAAACAGCAGTATTACAATGTCCACATAAATTCACTGACTTTTTTTCTGTACTAGCAGAAAGAATTTCAGTACTATCCTCCCCATTGTCTAGCTCAGTAATAATAATAATAATAATAATAATAATAATAATAATAATAATAATAATACAGTTGGAAAGGACCTTGGAGGTCATCAAGTCCAACCCCCTGCTCAGGCAGGTAACCCTATACCATTTTGGACAAATGGCTGTCCAGTTTCTTCTTAAAAACCTCCAGTGTTGGAGCATTCACCGCTTCTGGAGGCAGGTTGTTCTACTGGTTAATTGTTCTGTCAGGAAGTTTCTCCTTAGTTGTATTGCAGTTCAATTATTTTCTCAATGGAGCAGCACATAAAGCATTTTGCAAGCCTGGAATCTCCCTGCAACTTTTAAAGAGCTTTCTTACTTGAACAGTTGATTTTTATTCATTTAGTTATCATCGTAACTAACAATCTCTTTGCATACCATACTCCAGCATTTACTTCATTATTTTATTTCGTTTATTCTTTTATAATTTTTCTAGGGAACACTTGCATAGCTTTTTGTGTTTGTTTGTTTCCTGGTACAATTTGACTAAAATTAATTCACTGAATAATCCATGCACAGGTTCAATCCTATGGCTGTTTTTTAATTTGTTTTGTTTTCTTCCTTTCCTCTAGATTGTACCAGGCTATTGCAGCACTGGTTTCCAGTCGTCTCCTGGGGATCTCTGGATTCTAGGGGATGTGTTCATAAGAGAATACTACAGCATTTTTGACAGAGGCAACAATCGAGTTGGGCTGGCAAAGGCAATCTAGAAAAAAAATCTGCTTTTTACAACAGTGAATACTGTATCTGTTTAATCAATACATCCAACTATATTTTAACTTCCCAGCAATGTATTGAATTAACTCTAGTCCTGTGCTTTTAAATGCAATAACTGATATATTACAAGATAATTTGCAAATGATAGCACTATTCAAGTATTTCTAATCACCACTGAATGCAAAAAATAAATAGATAAATATCTTGTTCCAAAGTTACGTTGTTAGAGCTGTTGCTGACACACACTGTAACTTGTGGTAGCTTCAGGATAACAATTGGCAAAATCTCTGATGTTTCAACCTGTCCCATCAGGAATATTTATGTGTGGGAAAATGAATTACCAATCACTTTCCAGAGAGTGTGACCAACCAGGGTTGGGGAACCTGAAAGGCGATATGACCTTTCTTTGCAGTTTGTTTGAGGTAGTTCATACTCAACTTTTACTTATTGTCTCTTTGTTTGTCAGGAGAATAGCTGTCTCTCCATCTGCTGAATGATTTGAAGGTTGATATGGCAAAATAGCCTGTGTTTTTCAAAGCCGCTGTATTGGAAAGCACAGGCTAAGCTGCTCCAAGCCTTCACTGCTTCCTCCTGTGTTCATTTTCATGTTCAGCTGCCTGTCTCAGCAGTCCCATTGTCTGTCTTCACTGCTGCTTGCCCAATTATTCCTTGAACCCAGTAGTACTTGCTGGTCTTCTATCTATAATCTGACATCAATCCATTTGCCTTTCTTGAATCATCTGGGTATAATGCCTTCTGGGACCAATTCCTACAGCAACTTAGAAACTAGCCAGGGCTCTACTCGACTGGCAGCTGCTTGTTTGGGATTCACTGATACGTGGTGACAATCTGCTATGAAATATGGAAGAGAAGAGTGGAGGGGAAAATACTTGGGAAACTGAAACAATGCTGTGCCTTCTCAAGGAACTGCTTCAAGTTCATCCAGCTGGAAGAAGGAGGAAGTGGCATACCAGAGCATGCCTGAATTGACCATTAGGAAAACAGCTTGCAAGATTTTAATTGGATACTTTAATTGGGGTGGGAAATGAAAACCAATCAAGGAAGGGGAAAGTAGAAAGTATAATGTTTGAGATTTTGGTGCACAAATCACAGTTCTAGCTATGCCTTACTGCAATCCACTTGATCTCTAATTAAACTGTACCTTTCTCAACAAATGGAGCCAAGGATCATTTCTTTTGGGAGGTTAAGTGAGGGCAGTCTGACACTGACACTGAATATTGTGTTAAAACACTGCTCCAGCATTTCTAAGGGAGCTCCTCGGGAAGCCTTTTTTTTTTTTTTTTGTCAATGAAAGTAGCATTTTGGGTAATCTGGGATGTTCAGCATCCTACATTGCAGCCTTTCAATCTGGAGCCAGAAGTTGAAAATAAGATAATTGGTATCTGATTAGTCTCATGGAGACAATTTTTTTTAAAAAAATAATAGTAATAAAGTGAGGTCTCCATCTTTCTGACAGCAAAAACAAAAATGGTAATGGAGCACATAGTCCTAGAGTGGATCATAGCAGACCTTTGTTTTTTTCTCCTCCATGCAGAAGGACTCATGAAAAATCCATAAAAAGATTGAAAACACTTTTTTTTTTGTTAAAATCTATCTTAGCCTACCTCATCGGCAGGCTAATAACAAGAGAAACACTCCACTATGAGAAAAGCCTTTGGCAAATAATGTGGGGTATCTTCATATTTCAGAAAGCAGGACGTGTATAAATCCCTTGAAAAATTGCATTTCATTGAAGACAAAGTCAATTCATTTCCTACCCAAACTTCTTTGAATGAGATAAATGTAGCTCACATGAAAGAAGTGATAGGCCACCAAAAAGCATTTACAGTATATAGGCAATCTTGTTTCCGTTTGCTTAAACTTCAGAAAATTTAAGGCTGTCAATTAATGCTATTGATGGAGACTTTCTCCCACATATCTTGCCAAAAGCTGTGGAATAGGTTTAGCTCTGATTTTCTTTTGGAGGGCGGGGGGAGGCTAGTGGGGATCATCTTTTGACATTAGTTGCAGAAATGTCTGACTTCTGGACAAAGAGAATAGAAGATGATTTTCAAAGGAGGGATTGCACCAAGTGAAAGGAGAAAATTCTTTTTTCACCTTCAACTCCCACGAACTTAATCTGCATAGAAATTAACTGGGGGAGGGGGGTGGGAAGAGGAAGGAAGACACTTTTATTGACATCAGAGGAAATTTGGAGCTCAGAAAAAAAATAGAAAAATATAAAAAAATAGATCCAGAGCTACGGTCCCAGGTTTAGCAATACCACCAGCTGATTTATTTTTCAAAAATATAGGCTGGAAACTCAGACTTAAGAACCATCAAAGTATGAGATTGTGGTTATACTTCATGTATAATTCTTTATTTTTCTTTATAGTTCTTTATTTTTCTACAAAAACATGTAAACAATAATAAAGAAATAATAAACAATAAAGAAAGAAAACATCAGCGAGCAAAATTATTAGCTAAGTTCATCTAATTAATCATTTAAATACTTTATTTTAATAAAAAAGTATTTTAAATAGATTAATGAACAAATAAACAAAGCAAACACACAGAGAGACTTAAAAAAAATAGGATTAAAAAGAAAAATGAACCATGGGCATAAATTAAGAACCATTTTGAAAAAAGATTAAAATGGTGAGTTCATGTCTCAGAACATCCTCCCAGAGTGATTGAAGTATTGGACAATAATGCTGTGAGATAAAATTGTCTGAGTAAAAGTCAGCTATTGAGTTTCATTGCTAAAGGTATTATTTGGCTGGATCTGCATGAGAGCCAAAATAATGTATTGCTTAAGGCAGGGGTCCCCAACTCCTGGTCCGTGGACCAGTACCGGGCCACGGCATACCAGCAACCGGTCTGCACAAACAAGCAAACTCCATCTGCAGGATGCAGGCAGCACACAAAACCACACACTCTCCGGTCTGTGGAAAAACCTTTCTCCATGGAACTGGTCCCTGGTTCCCAAAAGGTTGGGGACCTCTGGCTTAAGGTATTGGACCCAGATCAGGGAGATCCACCCAGCTCTAGACAAATAATACCTTTAGCAATGAAACTCAATAGCTGACTTTTTCTCAGACAATTTTATCTCAGAGCATTATTGTTTTGGAATAAAAATAAAAGGAGATTGTCAGGGAAGCTGCCTTCAGAACCTGGATTTGGATCAACAATTAATGTTTAATGAGATAAAATGATAATAAAATGATCTGTCTTATCACTTCTTGAACAAATTTATTCTCATACTTAAAAAGAGAATAACCATGATGTTTTAGAATGCTCAAAGATACAATAGAAGATCATGGGACAGTAGTTGATTCCAAACTCAGTATAGGTTGCAATGCAATATGGTTGTTCCAAGAAAAATACAAATTTAGGGCTTTGGGGGTATGGGACTGATGAGAATTGCTTAAAACAAAAATAACATTTTAGCAAGGATTTATTCCTACAAGCAATAATAATGAAAGTAGTTGCTATGACACAAATTCCATTTTTAATTATACAGAGAAAGATGTTGACTGCAGTTTAAAATTAACACCAACCTTTTATAAACTATTCCTAAATATTCAAATCCATCTGGATTGATAGGATTGAAAGGATCCAGTTGTTTCTTACTAATTAATTGTACTATTTTTGTACCAGCTTGGTTGTAGAATCTTCTAATTTTTAAATCTGTAAATCTGTTAAGGATCACTCTGAGTCTTCTGGTTCAGAAGTAGAAGAGGCTGACCAATCTGAACCTCAGCCTCAACCACAGGAATTGGCTGAAGAGAGGAGGTATAGGCTCAATGCAGGCTGAGTCAGCTGATACAGAAGCTAAGTTAGGTAAATCCCAAACCCAGGAAGACACCACAAGTTGAGAAGAGAAGAACAAGGAAGCTGAGTCATCCACTTGAAAGTAAGAAGTATGTCTCAAAATAATCCATTCTAATTGGTTTATCCTGTAGAAATATGGTCTGTATAAAGCAGTGGTTCTCAACCTGTGGATCGGGACCCCATTTGGGGTTGAATGACCATTTCATGGGGTCGCCAAACCACGCTGTCCGCCATTTTTTTCCTTTTCCCTAGCTGTCCTACTCCCTTATTGGTGACCACACCCACTTGGGGGTCACCACAACATGGGGAACTGTATTATGGGGTCACGGCATTAGAAAGGTTGAGAACCACTGGTATAAAGGAAAGTGTGGCTTGACTGGCTCTTTGTAGCAATCAACATTACACATGCCCATCCATAGACATAGCCCACCTCCTTCTAGCCTAACTGTATGGTGCTTTGGCTTTCTTGGATAACCTAGCTGAATTTTGATGTGAAAACTGACCAGTCCTGGATCATTTCCAAACTGGCATTTTGTCTCTCTGGACTATTTCAGTTGGGTTTTCCTTCTCTAAGCAGCAATGTCTGTAGTTCTCAATGTGTTTGTTTTACCACAGATAAGGATTTAGGACTGCAATAAATACTTTTTTGGCAGCACAAAAAAGAATCTATTGATTGGTTTAAAAGTACACACTCATTATACAGAGGAATGTTGCTGTCAAGATACTTGTTATGTTGGCACATCCTTTGTGTTCCTTCAACCCATGTTCAGCCTTAGTAAACATGACAGTCTCTAAAAGAGCAACGTACAGAAATGTGCTGTATTAGGGAAACGTGCTGTATTAGGGTTGAATAAACATTTTAAATATGTCTTTTGCAAAATTGAAATACTCTGAATGTGAAACAGCTGAATACTATACTATATATACTATGTATAGCATATACTATATACACTAAATACTACAGAGAGAACAGAGCAAAAATGGCAATGAAAATAGGATATGAGTTGAAAGTAATCTTTCCAACATGGGTCTGGATTTCAAGTTACATTAAAGGGCTGAGAACCAACAAGGGTTTAATATATTCAATTTTTCTTCAGTTTTGTTCAAACTGAACGGAAGAGTCCAAAAAAGAGACAGTGAGCTATGTCGGGTTTCCCCATTCTATTTTCTGGCTAACCACTGAAGGAGTACGTCGTACATTTGCCTGAAACAAACAAACAAAAAACCTTTATTAGACCATGAACTTAACAAAACAACACAACATAGTAAACCAAGGCTGGGCTTAGGCTTATGCAACAAACCAAAGTTGATAAAAAGCAATGCTTATCTTTGCATAATATATGTCCAAACAAATAAACTATGGCTTATTGTGATAGCCTGAGTCACATAACATTAGACACAAGGGATAGGAACTAACCAGGGTAGGGGAGCTTTGCTGTTTTCCACACACATATTTTCCAGCAACCTCTCCATTCTTAACAACTGATCAGATGCTTTTAATATTCCAGTAAGGTCTACTGTTCATTTCAAAAAATTGTAAATCACTCAGGCTTTTCATCTTCAAACATATAAATGAATAGCCTCAGAACCCTCTATGAAATACTAGACTCTACACCACTTCAATCAAACACAAATAACTTCAAGAGGTTTTTTTCCCCGACAGACAGTGACCCAATTCAGCTCTTTTGAGCATTTCCTAAGCCTTTTGGTGAAAATAATGTAACACTAAATCTCAGCAACACCAAACGAAATCAACTATTTGCCCCTTCTACCATCTATGGATACATAGTATTTACAATATAACAATAAAATTACCTAGAAAAAATAATTCTGATTTCTGAAATATGATATGCTACACATGTTTATCCTTTCAATATTGGGCTGTAGAAACTGTTTACCCGTGCCATTGCAAAATGTAATAAAATTTTTGATCATGCTTACTGAAGGATTGATGATGGGAAAAGAGGTCACAATAATCTCAGAGACATCAGGTGCACTGTCATTGATGCAGCAGATCCAATGCCAGTATGCTTCTCTCACCTGAAAATCCAAAAATTCAAGGTCAATAGGTGAAATTATCTACTAGTCTCCTATTAAAGTGGGAAATCCTCATTTAGCAACCATAATCGGGATTGACAACTTGGCCTTTAAGTGAAGTAGTGGCTAAGTCAAACTATGTTGTGCTTATGACCTTACTTCAGCTTTCCTTTGCTTTACAGGTTTGCAAAGGTTGACAGAATGGGTCACAAAGTTACATTTTCATCACTTTTTGTAAAAGCAAACAGTTGTTAAAGGAGGCGGTCATTAAATAAGTACTACCTGTATGTGAAATACTCCTAAGCAAAGAATTCAAATCAGCTATGTTTTGGATTGTGGGTTTGTTTGTGTATATTAGAAATCAAAGTAATTAATCCACAGTATTCTCCCTGCAAATAGGCTGTTGAGAAGTATTTCCTTTTCTACTTCCCTAGTCTGTTTATCTTCTCTAAAGGAATGTTAAAGATTATACACATTTTTGTCATTTCTGAAACCTCCAGTAATGTCTGGTTGTATAATGATGGGTACTCAGTTAAGAAGATACTGAAATAAAGGGAATGTACATATTTTGGACAGCCATTTAGTAAATTCCATTTATAATCTCCACTCCTCTGTGAAGTAAAGTAAACTTCACAAAGAAGTTTATTTTACTTTCTATAAAGACAAGCTAAAAGGATGGAGTTATAGAGAGCAAAACTACTCTTTATATTTAAAAACAAAGAGCCTCCTCCCCCCCCCAAAAAACCTTCTTTGCAACATTCCAGAAATGTTCGGTGAAAAATGAACATATTTCTTCTATAGGCATTACAAATATGGCTTCAGATCCACAAGAGAAGCAAATATCCCACTCTGTACCAATCAGTCAGTGCTGCTGCTGCTGACTATAACAGGAAGGATTTATGCCAAGGGAAGTTCAGTTCATTTGCAGAGTGAATTTGAAGTAACATTTGTTACTACCACATTCTTTATCTCTAGCATGAACAAGAAACTGGGAGTGAGAGAGGGCTCTAGCCAATTGTGGGATTCAAATATATGAACAACTGGTTCTCTGTGTGGATGCCGCTTCCAGAAGTCCATTCTGGGCCTGGTCAACAAAAAAAATTAGCTACTGGTTCTGCCAAAGTGGTACGAACTGGCTGAATCCCACCACTGGCTCTGACTATTCCTGTACCAGAAGCTCACAAAATCCTGAACCCAGTCTGGATAATCTGGCATATTACATAGTTTGTGTGGTAACCTACATTCTGTGCAGCCCTCTCTTGTTTTCTACACCAGTGATTCTCAGCCAGGGGCCATATGGATATTTCAAGGGGCACAAAGGTGAACAATACATATCAGGAGGCCACAGCATATGCTGAGGAGGCCACAGAAAAGCAAAGGATACTATGCTGTAAACACTGTCTTTATTACAAATCAAAACATATTTTTCATCAATAATGTGACCTAGACAGGGGACCACAGGGAGAAAAAGTTGAAAAACACTGCTATACAACACCTTTTGGTTGAGTAAGCAGTACACCAAGAAAATGAAGATTCCTTGCACACTGTTGGTGATGGTGAACAGATATGCCATAATGTCTTCCACAGGGCCATATTGAAAGAGGCCCAAACACCAGGTCACACCAAGGATGAACACATGGGCTATGGCCTTAAATAACAGTGACCTACAACAAAGGCAAGATACCAACAGAGAAATGACAGTTCTGAAAAGAGAGCATCTGAATCCATTTAAGGCAGGTTAGGCAACTATGGTAACTTTACGACCTATGGACTTCAACTCCTAAAAGTCCTGGCTCAGGAGTTCTGGGAGATGAAGTACACAGGGCATAAAGTTGCCTAGCCCTGATCTAAGGTAATCATCTCCCCCTCAACTGAATCTGTGATAGAATGAAACCAGGACTTTCACTTCCCAGGAAGAATATAAATGAGATATGTGGAATAATGGAAAATGATTAAAGTTGATTGTGGCCATAGTCAAAGAAGGAGAGAAAGAATGGGAAACTAGTACAGTAGGCCATTATCAATCATTTGGAGTTTTCCCTTTGCTGAGACAGTTCACATAACATCCACTGCTTATTCCCAAGATTAAGGTCATGGGTTTGATGTTCTGGTGACAAAATCCTTGTTTTAAAATCAATGAACATTGAGACATCCAACTTCATATTGCACCTATGCTTCAGTAAAGTCATTATCTTCTGCAGATTCCCAGCCAGTAGGCATCCATATATTTCTGCAAAATGGAGGAACAATCTAGATTCTACAATTTTTAGCTCAAAGGGACAAAAGATGGTGACCCCCAAATGAAAAGGACTCTTTTGCTATTGATAGTTTCTAATCAATTCACCCCTCCCCCAATTTTTGCCAACCTCATGCATACAAAGACCTCAACACCGTTCTCCACTATATGAGTTTCTATATTTGCTCCCCAAAACTTGTACAAGTTTTGTATCTCTCAATTTGTCATGAAAAAGAATTTTGAAGCATTAGCTTTTATTTGTGAAGATCATACTGAACTGTACTCCACATTTCACACTTTGTGATAGCTCTTACCTGGTATTTTTGATTGAAGATATCTCTGAATTGAGAGAAGCCAATTTTTTATGAAGATTCCTCAGAATAAGACAAAAAAACACTAAATTGACCTTTGGGAGGAAAAAAAGCCTTCAGAAAGAAATAAAATAATGATAACAACAGCAGATAGATAATGTTCTAAGTCTAAATAAGATGAAGAAAAGAGAACAACTGTTGGTTTTAGATCAGGGGTTCTCAACCCCCGGGCTATGGCCCACTGCTGGGCTGTGGCCCATTCAGAACAGGGACCTGTAAGTGGTGGGGAAGAGTGCATCTGCTTGCAGCCCCACTTGTGCGAGCAGTGGATGCTTGTGCTTGCAGCCCCTCTTGCATGAGCTATGTGCACATGTGCCATCTGTCCCTCACACAAAACCATCCCAATTTCTCCTCTCCTGCACATACACTGGGCTGCCAATCCAGAAAAGTTGGGGACCGCTGTTTTAGATTATACATTTGATAGCTGATGGTTTTAATGAGTGGACATCTACCTCTATTTTAATTATAGCTGACAGAAAAAATAGAAATTTCTGCATTTCAGGACAAAATGGGTTAACTTTTCATTCTCAAATTCATCTTTTCTTTCTTTCCCTAATAGTATAAAATAGTATAAAATTGCAGCTCTTTGCAAAATATTAGAATTAATTAATTTCCCTTGTGTCGCTGAAAGAACTGATTTTCCTGCATTTTTAAAAACTTAGGAGCATCGTCCAATAAATTGTAAATATAAAAAGACCAACCAAGGTTGATGTATCCATTTTAGCTACACGAGATCAAGTTCTTTTTCTCTTCTTTCTCATCTCAGAAAAAAAGTTATAAAATTCTTTAATTTCTCTACTGTAAAGAATAAGAGACAATATTTGCTCACCACAATTATTGCACAGACAGGTCCGATAAAGCTCCAGATAAAATCTGGGTTAAGCCAGCAGCTAAAGAAAAAGAAAAATCATCAGGAAAAAAGTAGACAGACATGCAAACAAATGTATTGTACAAAATTGCTTTCTCTGAGTAATACAAACAATTATGGTCATGTACTTGTAGCTTATATCTTGGAGGCACCACGCTGAGGGAAGCAGCTTTTAACCATATGCCAAGACTTACCGATAAAGTGTCCCAAAGGCTCCAGGGTTAATTGTTGCAGAAATAGCTACGATCAGGACAGGAAACCCATAACCAATGAGGTACATGCATATCTTCATATACTTGCTGGTCCCGCTGTAATTTGCAACTTTCAAGTTTCTGACAGTGAGGTAGAGATTGACACCTTCCAAGAACATCCAGACAAAGCAGGCCAAAAAAAGATACTTCAGCATTCCAGCTATGATTGAACACAGGATCTGAATCAAAAGTAAAATGCCATTCCTTTATCAGCATCTGATTATTAAATTGTTGGCTTTGAAAGAAAATCAACAATGGGCTATAAAAAAGCAGAGAAATGGGACAAATCATATCTGACATTCATGTTTCCACCAGCAGTGCTGTAGGAAAAAAATTGTGCAAAGTAACCGTTCTTTCATTTGAGATATGCCACTATCATAAGGCTAATAAAAAAGCTAAAAGAATTATGTTTGCAAAGAAAACTGACTCAATTCAGCCAATCTAAAGAAAAATGAAGATTTCTTAGGTAGGAAGCATGCTCAGATGGGGTTCTCTATCCACTGAGCAGAACATCACATATTCTTCTGAAATACCTTGTTGCCTGTTTTATCTATTCCAATTATGAAGAGGAGGTCTGCAAAAAACAGACAGAAGCTCAATTGTAGGTGGATAAAGGTGCTGTTGTTGTGGCTGGAGCGGCAGAAGAGGAATGTGACAATACACAGGAAGAGGCAGATGACTGAGATGGACAACCCAAGGTAGCTAATAATGGTGAGGATCAGATCTCCCTGGAAAGAGAAGTTCTCAACATTATACGAGCCATCTTTTGACAAGAAAGTTACCTTTACACTTCATCTAAAATCTAGACTACAGGTATCAAACTTGATCGTGTCATGTGACATATTGTGACGTATCGCGAGTTTTTTGCCTTTGCAAAGCCAGTTGGGTATGGCCTGTGCATGATGCATCTGGCCATGGGCTGCCAGTTTGACCCCCCTGATCTAAACCAGAGATCTGACTTTCATGTAAAAGCTATTCTATTATCTGTCTGTTTTTGTTGTATTGTGATTGGAAATGAAGCATCAGGATTTTTAAATCTTGAGTATTATAAATATTTCTTAGTTTACTTTTCTATATATGAAAGGAAGGGGCCACAAATAGTTATGGAGAACTCTGCAGCATGTCAAATAGAAAAATACTGCTTCGATGATGAAAATTGTTATCTTCCTAGACAACAGCAGGACACAACAGTAGATACAGTATAACATGTAAGAAAAAACATGTTGTTTACCACATTACATTTCTGAGATGTTTTCAGAAGTAACATACGTGTTTATGAGTTGTGGCCATCAGTACAGCAAAACTGGACAGATGTTGACAGCTGCACTCTGTGTGGGTGATGTTAGAAAAGAGCTGCTGGCAGCCATGTTCGGACAAGGCACCGAAGTTCAAATGGACACAGAGAACCTTTTCCTGGGCAACTTTATTCTGCAAGAGGGAAGTAATGTTGATGGCAGGTAGGGAGAAAATCTACATATTTACTTTATCCCCTACTGCACAGATGCAGAGTTATTAAACATTAACAAGGAAACAACTGTAAGACAAGCAAAAGGAACAATGTAAACATCACAGAATTTAAAGACCAGGAAACACAAATACTACAGAATGCATAAGCTTTGTAAAAGTTGTTAGTGTGAAAAGGTGCTATCAGACTTCTGATTTATAAAGCTTGAATGACCATAAGAACATTTATATGGATTTATATTTTTCTTGATATTCTACTTTCTTTCTTAATATATATTCATAAGATGGAAAGAAAAAAAATGGCTTGATTTCCAAAGTAACTTCATTTACATACCTTGAGATGCTGAAAAGTGAGATTGACCGGGGTAGAAATATCCTGTATCTTGTTCCCGACAGAAACGCTTACCAGCCTGGAGTTCATATGAACATTTGTCAGCATTTCATTGTCCGGGAATGTTCCATTCTGCACTAGAGTCTCTTTTAAAAGTGATTCCAGCCCACCAGCCGATATAAAAGCCACAGCAACAGTATCTGCAAGAGACAGAAGGAAGATCAGGGAGATAAAAATAAAACCAAATAAAGTATACACGATTTCCCCAAACCTGGGAAAATCTTGATAATGAAAGGATCGGCGTAGATCCATATATTTACTTCTTGGCACTACAAATTACTTTCTATTCCCTCAGTTTCACCTTTCCCAATTTAGTGTTTTACAGATGTGTTGGATTGCAACTTCTCTAATCCAAACCAGAGTGATAAAACACCCTGCAAGCTCAAAAATGGGAGGGAGCAATAAAGTAGATTGTAAAAGTAATTTTGGATCTACTCTGTAGAAAAACCAAGCAAGTTATGAACAATACCTGTGGTCGTGGCAGTCGCTGCTCTTGGATGGATGACCATTTGATCTCCTTGAGCTTTTAACTCCAGTGTTTCATTCTTTTCAAAGGATCCCGGACTGATAAGATTTGTTTGGATCACTGAAAAGACAGAGAAATGTTGAGTTCCTGAATGGATCTAATGAATGCTAGTCATTTTTTTTTTACCAGAAGATGATGTCAAATAAGAAACATATGTCATAATAGAATGAAACAAAATTCCTAATAGCACTTAGGTGCTATTAGATGCAGGTGCTTTGAGTTAGGGCCTTTTCAGTTGATGGTTTAATCATGAAAAAGTGATCCTTATTAACTGAATTGATTAGAATGATGCTAGTCTTATTACTTACTGGTGATATCAATAATCTTTTTGTTTTCCTTTTTTATGAATGGTTGATTAACTGTGACAGCTTATTGGAATGTTTCATGCAAAGGTAGGACTCAAATTTAGATGATAAATAAATAAATTGAAAACATGTGTAAACTCTCCTATATAGGCTGTTTTCACTAACGAAGTCAAAAATGTGAATTGCCATATGCACCCCTAGTTGATGAATGAAAGAAGATCCAGTACAGGGAATTTGACTTGTGCCACATACAGACAAATGCCTTTCCTTTCTTTTTCTTTTTTTCTTCAAAGTCAAAGATCATTTTTCTTTTCCTTACCAGTGAAGTTTCGAACCACTGTTCGAGAGGTATTTCCTGGATTTGCAAGAGCTGTAAATAGTGCACTTAAGCTTATGTAGTCCATAATCTTGGGCAAAATTGTGACAAAATCCTTCTTTACGTTATTATCCCAATAAGACTGATTATCAAAAAGCTTTTCAAAGGAATCCACTGAGTCCTGCAGCATTACAAGAAGGAAACTTTTCACATCTCATTTAGTGTTTCTCAAGCATTTCATTAAGAAAGTTCTTGCCAGGATATTGTAGAAGACCCTCAATATACTTCAACTTGAATCTTACAGTGTTATATGGTCATATGGCTGGGTTCAGATAACATGCATAGCCAAAAGATGGTTTTATCACCATAACCATTGCAAGTCATTTTAGAAATCGATGCCAAAAGAAACCTTGGAACCCAGTCTGTGGATATAAAAATCTCACCTGCTCATTTTTCAAATTGAGCAACAAACCCAAAGCCAAAGTTGTGACATCAGTTCCACAGCTGACATTAAAAAATAAATCTGAACTGCCTTTTACTTTTTTCCCCGCATTTTAAAAACCTTCCACAATTTAGCTTTTGTGGCGTTCTCAGTATAGACTCCCCCCATTTCTAAATTTCCAAAATATTTCTTATTAATTTTAAAACCACAGTAGGTCTTGTGGCATATTAATGTTTAACAGATTAATTATGCACTTCATCAGAAATGGGTTTTGACTCAAAAAAGTTTATGCTAGAAGAGTGGATACATCTTGAAGTCTCTTGTTGGTGATGAAACTACTAGCATGGTTCCCCAATGGAAATATAAGCATGGATCTTGGATTCTTAATTATTTATTAATTTTAATTAATAAAAGTATATATAAAACCTGATTTTGAATACCAGAATTAAATAAAATTTATTTACAGAATTAAAATGTCAGACAATGGGATCTTAAGAAGTATGGAACCAATTTATTTACTTCTACCTTCTCCCCCCCCCCAGAATTTAGTTTTCCAATCTCATTTCCACTAATCATTGAAAAAGTCCTTTCCTTTCCCTTCCCTCCCCTCCCCTCCTCTCCCTCCCCTCCCCTCCCCTTCCCTTCCCTTCCCTTCCCTATATCAATCCCATATTAAAACACATATATTAAAGTTGAGTCTTATTCAAAAAACTGATTCAGTTCCAAGAATAATGACCCTAGAATAATACATCATCAATGTACACAATGGGAAACCATTCAGACTTGCTTCTCAGGAAAGACAAGCTGTGGTCAAATGTTGTCTCTGCAGTTGTCAATAAATCTCACTTTCAGGGTGGATTCAGTAAGCATGTCACTAGCACCAACAGGATTCAAGAAGATCAAGGCAGGACCCATCACTGAGCAGTATAAATTCTTTTCCTAAAAGAAAAAGAGAAAGGAATCATGTGTCCTCACAGTTCAATTGGCGAGTGAAGAAAGAATCCCTGCATAGTTGTTTCGGCAGGGGTTGATTCTGGGATTTGAAGTTGTAAAGCTGCCAAGATTGGAGACCCCTGGTTAGGACAGGATTGGAGACCTGCAGAAACCATCTGTGCAGGATCAGTTCACCAGACCCTGAAAGCCACATCAGTTTAAATTTCTTTCCTGGACATACTGATCCAGGGCTCTTTGTTTCTTCAGAACTAGCAAATCTTCAGTCAGGCTGGAGGTTACCATACATTTCTTTTGAACGTTTTGCTCAGCAGCCATAGATAAAATAAAAATTGTAGAAATTAGTGGCAGCGTTTTCAATGCCCGTCTTAAACTCTGTTTTAAAGTGATTTTTTTAAAAAAAAATTAACGACAGAGTTTCTTAGAAAATTAATTAACCAGCATTTTTTAAAAAGTGAACAATCTTACTCAATAATTGTCCACCATGATCTGCAGAGGTCTCAAAGCCACACATGAGGAGGGCGCATATATGCTAAAGGGTGCTCTTTCTTTGATTTCTCTCGACATAAATAAGTAAGAATAGAGGCATATCTAGACAATGAAGCAGGATGGCCTTGTTACCGTCACAGTTACTATCCCAATTACTATCCCAGCAATAAATTGACTCACCTACCCCTCCCACTTCCAGCTGATAATATGAGCTCAAGCAGGTCCACAATTGATTGTGAACTGCCACAAACACCACACACAAATGTTTCTTGGGGTTAATAGCTTGTCATTATTCAAATTAAGCCTTTAGCCAATACACGTTTCACATCAACTACTCCAAGTATATAATTCTGCAGCATTGGTAGTATAAACAGATTGATTTAAAAAGAAATTATACAAATTTAACATATAATGTATTATACTTACTGTTTTTTGTTCATTTGAACAATTATTTGAATTGAGAGTTTTTTGCACTTTTTCTAGTTGGGAGTCAAAGGGACTTTCTGTAAAGGAAAATATAAAACTGTAAGTACAAAGTGAACTGTCCACTTAAAAAGTTAAAATACTTTGATGGATGTCATCTCTCATATTCAGGGGGGAGACATTCTGATCCTTTCCTTGTGTGTGAAACAGCTTTGTTTACTTTTTATAATTGCACATATCATCCTTTCATCCAAATTTAACGTGGCCCTATCCCTTGTGTACACTCATTGAAACAAAACAATCATTTTGTTATTGTTGAGAGACAAAATAATGTATTACAATCATTTGACATTATGCAGCTTTACCCAGAAATTAATCTTACTCCCACTTCTAAAAAGACAACTCTTTTTGAGTTGTCATCTCATCTAAGCAATTGTAACAAAATTTATAATGACCAATTATACATTTCCATTCTTTCCATTTTACAATAAATTCTGGAGAAGGCCATGGAACTTCATTTGCATCCTAGAAGAAACGTCTTTTCTGGAATCTTCAACCAGGGCTTGGACTGGGAATGGGACAGAACTGATTGTCCTGGTAGATTACTTATTTTGGGAAGCTGGATGGAGTGCACCCTTCATGGTCCTCTTAGATCGTTCAACAGCATTCAACATGCTTGACCATGTTATTCTTCTGGACACATGCGAGGGTAACTGTTGGAGATTATATCATCTCTTTTACACTTGTAAGATGTTTTTATCATTAAAGCAAATTGTGAGAGATAGATAAGGGCAAGGTTTTATATGTTATCCTTGGTCCATTTGGCACCAGGCCTACGATTATTAAGTGATTCTTTGTTTAAAAGATAACAAGGAACAACCTCTCCCTCTTTTTTTTTCTTCTGCAGCCCTCTTTTCAAGATCGATTTATAAATGTGAGATTTTTCTATCCTCGTATGCTTCTGTGCTTGTTAAGGTCACAAGTTGTTGTTTGCCCATCGATTTCGATGAAGACCTTGACATCTTGTGGATTATGGGCCATCAACGATGTGTCTGTAGGTGGCTAATAAGACCGATGTTAGCACAGAATGTTCTGCCACATACTGAACAAAGAAATGTAGACACTGTTAGTTCAGCATTTGCAGCTCTGGCTTTGCGGAGTGCTCGCTTTTCTTGTGCCAAGATTGTCCTTCTGTGTTCATATGTCTGGCAACCCTGGTACACCAAGGTGCGCCATGTCGGTCAATCATGTGCCAGAAGTTCCCAAGAGATGGTGTTAATATCCAGGGACTTAAGAGAAGCTTTCAACGTGTCTTTGTATCGCTTCTTTTGTCCCCCGTGCGATCGCTTTCCTTGAGACAGCTCACCATAGAAGAGCTGTTTAGGGATGCGATGATCTGGCATCCTTACAACATGGCCTGCCCAGCACATCTGGGCTTTCATCAACAGAATGTAAACTGAAGATAGGCCTGCTCTGGAGAGGACATCTGTGTCTGGTATCTTATCTTGCCACCGGATCCTCAGAATTCTATGAAGGCAAGTCATGTGGAAGTAGTTCAGTTGCCCAACATGCCTCTTGTACACTGTCCAGGTCTCACTAGCATACAATAGGGTAGTTAGCACTGCTGCCTGGTAAACTTTAAGCTTCATAGCAAGACTTATTCCACGGCATTAGTCCGCAATCTGCAAAATGCAGAACTTGCCTTGGCAATTCTACAGTTGACCTTGATGTCAATTGTCACTGCACGGGAGAGGGTACTACCAAGATACGTAAATTGGTCCACTGCTTGCAGCTTTTGTCCCTTTACTGTGATGGTAAGCTCTTGATATTGGGCTTTTGGAGCTGGCTGGTACATCACTTCAGTTTTCTTCATGTTGATGAAGAGACCAAAGTTGTCACAAGCGGCTGCGAATTTGTCCATGCTGGCTTGCATTTCCTGCTCCGATCCTGCATTAAGGGCACAGTCGTCAGCAAAGAGGAAATCTCGTAGCACAGTCTCCTTTACCTTGGTTTCCCATCGGTTCTGTCACAAGTATATCCTAACAAAATATATGCTTTAAGAAAGGCTCCTGAATTCAAATTCCTCTGATTGAGGACTGGAAAAACTCTGCAGTTATTTCACTCCTTGCTTACTGGACAACTTCAGCTGTTGCATGTGAAAAAAAACTTGAGACAGTGGTTGCTACAATGTGGGGTATTATGGGTTCTGTTAAGTCCTTTGATCGTGGGCGAATGATGAAGACTCATTGTATAGTTAACAGCTCTTTATTTAATTTGGAAATGGATATTATATAAAAGTTCTTGAAGTCATTCAGTGACATTGATTAAAAGGAGAGTTAGAACAGAAAATGCATTTATTTTTTACATTTTATAACTGACCACAAAAATCTGGTAGTACTCAGTAACTTGTATGGTTTAGAGAGGTGATTACCTAAATTCTCACAAGATAGGTTATTATGTTGGATTTGAATTACATCTTCTGATTGTGAAAACTACACAGGCATCTGTTTGGCTAGACAAAATGGAACTTGGCATTGTAATACTCTTTGTTTGTATTAATTTGTAAGAGAAATATTATGTGCAAAAGCCAAAAAGCCAACTAATATAATTTTATTTATTTTATTTCTGTGCTAGAGAGAATGTACTGTCCATGCAAAACTCAAGATGAAATGTAAGCCCATTGGCTGATTATAAATATTAATAATTGCTAGAAGTTTTAACTTTTTATCTTTTAAAAAGAATGCAGTTAGTGAAGGCCTTGCAGCCCTTTGCTCTCAAATCCATATCATGTCATAGACGTTTATTAGTTTATAACTATTTTAAACTGCTCAACATCTCCCCAAAATAGAATGTTTCATTTATCAAGACATTTGTAGTGGTTGAAAATTACAATTCTATTAGTTCCATTCAGTTAAGTTCAAGAAGATGCTATTGAAAAGAGTCAAGAAATGAATAAACTTACTCTCAGAAATAATATTATTTGATCCTGGCCGGGGATATCGTTCACATTTGCTGCCTAGAAAAATAAGAAGGGCATTTTCAGTGACCTTGTTCATTTTAAGCAAGATTAGACATGGTATTGTTTCTTCCTTTAATCACATTATTCACCTGAATAATTAATCACATTATTAATCACATTATTCACCTGAAGATTTTAAGAAGATATAGATGACTGGCAGGTGTGGATTGCATTAAAAATATGGTCTTGATTTAGTATATGATAATAGCATCTAATGCATCTTGTTATACTGTAAAAAGGCAGGAATAACATGCTAGGAATATAACAAACTTAAATTCTCTGCATTTTATCATGGTTTGATTCTGCCTTAACATATGACAATTTTCATTAAGAAACAGCCAACGATGCGGAGCAAAGGAAATGCATAATTTCCATTAGTAGAAGAGGGGGCAGGCCCTAAACCAATTTACCAGCAAGCATTCAAGGGTGGAATTAACTGTAAGAAGCAGTTGAGTCAAACAGCAACTACGTAGGTCCACACAAGGGTAAGACATCAAACCTGTGCCAAACCTGTGTTTAATATGGGTCAACTTTTTGAAGTAGTCTAGACAAGAAGCCCCAACTGTGTAAAGAAATTATATTTCACTTCACTTTTATGCATATGTGATGAAGATGCAGACACAGTTTAAAACTTACCAAACACCGTAAAGACCTTACACATAAAAAAGTTCCGTATTGATTCACCAAATGTTCCTACAGAAGAAAGCAATTCCTGTCAATCTTAAACCAAATCCAGCTGAGTAAGACTGCTAGAGCAGGGGTTCTCAACCTTGGCAACTTTAAGATGTGTGGACTTCAATTTTGCTGGCTGAGGAATTCTGGGAATTGAAGTCCACACATCTTAAAGTTGCCAAGGTTGAGAACCCCTGTGCTAGAGTTTCTTTATTGATATAATCAAGCTTATGTAACTGATGTCACATGGACACTGTGGAATATTTAGCAGAAAGGATAAAGGAAAGGAAAACCTGAAAGGGAAAGGAAGTTTGTCCAAGGACTTAAGCAATGCCTACGTTATGAAATAGGTCCATGGGTTTTGGGCAATAATTTTTAGAAGAGGCTTGCCAATGGCTCCTTTCTAGGGGTGAGAGAGCCACTTGGATGCCTTTGGGAAAGTCATTCTTACTCTCTCTCACAGACTATATGCTTCATGTAATCATCAGATCCAAGACTGTTTCAAAGGTACCAAGGAAAGGAAGAGAAGGGAGGACTAGTACAGGTAGTCTTCAACTTACAAGAGTTCATTTCGTGACCGCTGAAAGTTACAATGGCACTGAAAAAAGTAACTTATGACCATTTTTCACAGTTACGACCTTTGAAGCATCCCATGATCATGTGATGAAAATTCAGAGGCTTGGCAACTGGTTCATACTTATGACTGTTGCAGTGCCCCAAGGTCATGTGATCAGCTTTTGCAAACTTCTGACAAGCCAAGTTGACAGGGAAGCCAGGTTCACTTAGCAACCAGGTTACTCAATTGTTGTTACGTGATCCACAGTGATTCACTTAACAACCATGGCAAGGAAGATTGTAAAATGGGGCAAAATTCACTTAACAAAATGTCTCACTTCACAAGAGAATTTTGGGGCTCAATTGTGGTCATAAGTCGAGGATTACCTGTACAGATATTCTGAAAATGATCTTCTGAAAATGATCTAATTTCTGGATTAGGAGTTTAACAAGTTTGTACTGTTTTATTTCTCAGTCTGATAAAGAATGTTAACAAACACAAAACCTGTCAGAGATTTCATTTTGTTAACCTTGCTGATAATTCTCCTCCCATAAAATGTAGCTAGATACAATCAGCATATAATAATATTTCTGTGATCTTTTCAGTGCGGTGACTTATTTACATGCATGCATTTTATATGATCAAAAGGAAAGCTAGCAACAAGGAACCTTTTCCCAGTGATCACAGTTGCCTGTTTTGTTGAGGAGTGGGAGTGGGATAAATAGCAATACATTCCATAGTTTGGATAGGGTACCCCTATCCCTTATCCCCTACATAGAGTTCAAAATTTTATATCTGCTATAAATTCATTTGAGCAGGAAAAGTAATAATCTGTCAATAAAAATTCCATCATGAAACAAACATAAGCATGCATAATACATGGCAGTTTTGGTGCAAAGGTACTGTATTGTCTAAAACTGGTGATACTGGAGAAACACACACACACACACACACACACACACACACACATACACAATGCACTCATTTCTGCAGAAGAAAAAGAACATTTATTATGAGTATCTACATTTTAAAACTGTTTTTATTTCAAAAGATGTATGACTATACTTGCCTATACTAATTGGAGATAACTCTCAAGATGTACCCATAAGATGTTACTATGCAAAGGGAAAGTAACCTCACTTGAGGATCTATGTTCATACAAGTACACATTCAGTTTCACTGAATTTTCCATCTTTCTCTCCTTTTTTCTGTGCCATGTTTTGCACACATATACCTTCTATTGTACATGGAAACTGCAGTTCATTACAAAGATATATATATATATATATGATAGGAAATAAAATGATCACCAGGGTAATAAAACTATAAAATTTATTAAAAAGCGCCTAGCTTTCGCCGTCACCTGCCGGCATCCTCAGGGCTAGTGCGCCAGGGAGTGGGAGGGTCATTCTTATAGGTGTGGTGAGGTCTGCGCACGACTCCTCGACCTCGTCATTGGGCCTAAATAGGATAACTGCGTGCGGCTGGTGTGTTCCTTTCTATTCATCTCAACCGCCCGTTCATCCTCCTCCATCCTTCTCTCCCTCAATCTTGAGGTGGGCGGGCAAATGTCTCTATGGTTGCAACAGTCTCTATATTTGAGCTCTTTTCCCTCGGGGGTAGGTGGCAGTGTGCATTTCGTGTTTCTTTTACAGTCCTCCTTCGTTCCATCGTTCTTCCTATGGCAAGTTTTTTGTTGTTGAATTTTGGTATCTTTGTTTCTTATACAGGTATCATTTAAGTGATCACATGGGTCCTTTCGAGGTAGTTGTAATTCATTAACGGTCTGGGGCTGGAGGGGGGGACCTTTCAAATGTGGAGGGGGTAGTGATTCTTCAATTGTCCCTGTGTGTAGTCGCTTTGTGCGCGCTACGCCCTGTTCGGGCGATCCGGAAAGGGTAGCGGTGGGGCCATGCCTTCGCTCTTCCTCTTGGGGTAGGTATCGTCCAGGTGATCTCACACGCCCCTCCCGAATAGATATAGTTCGTCGGCAGTCCAAAGCCGAAGGGCAAGCCACTCGGTCGTGGGTGGAGGGGGGCGGAGGCTCCCCGCCCGTCGCCACCCCCAGCTGTCCGGCGCGTCTCCTGCTATGAGTGATCGATCCGGGGGGAAGGTTAGCAATAGAGTCGTGATCTGTTTGGTCTTTGCAGCGTCCTTCCTCGCTACAAGTAGATATAGATCGTCGGCAGTCCGGAGCCGAAGGGCAGGCCATTCGGCCATGGGTGGAGAGGGGCGGAGGCTCCCCGCTCGTCGCTACCCCCAGCTGTCCGGCGCGTCTCCTGCTGCGGGTGATCGGTCCGGAGGGGAGGGTGGCGATAGAGTCGCAATCTGTTTGATCTTTGTAGCATCTTTCCTCGACTTGTCTCCTCCTCCCTGCGTCGTCGGTGGTCATACGAATCCTCCGAAGCTCTCCGGAATACGCAAGCGGGGGGAACGGTGGCTTGATCTCTTGAGTTCTTTCTCCTTCTTGCGGTTTCCTCTCTCCTAACTTGGTCCCCTTGATCCAGCGGGGGGCTCTCTCTTTTCTTTCTGAAATGACTGGCATATTTCCTCCCATATGCAGGTGGATTGCCATATCTAAGGGTCTCCCCCCTCCTCCAACCGCGATGTCTTCCTTAGTATTGGTCACCACATTTCGAGTATCTATATCTTCCTTAATGCATTAAGGAAAGATATAGACGGCGAAAGCTAGGCGCTTTTTAATAAATTTTATAGTTTTATTACCCTGGTGATCATTTTATTTCCTATCATGAACACTCCCAGGGTTCACGTTTTTAATTTTCTTAAACGCGAATATATATATATATATATATATATATATATATATATATATATATATATATATATGCTGACATTTGAAGGACAAATACAATATATGTTTAGAATCACTTTCTTATATTATTCCTGAGAAGGTAAATAAGTTTTACCTTTTCCATCTGCACAAGAAATTGCCAATCCAAGACCTAAAATAAATAAAATGCAATTATAATATTGTAAGTATAACATAATTGTCTTTAAAATGCAAGATAGTCCCCCTTCTTTTTTAATGGAAATAACTTTGACCTATTAAATTCCAGTTGCTTTGGCATAAAACTTGGATTTGTAATTCCAATTGTATCATGATTTATTTAAAATTGTTATCATCATTGCATCATTACAATATATAAAAACTTACCATCCATTGGAAAAAGGATTATAAAATTGTTAAAATTATTCATTGTGTCAAAATAAGAACATTCTGATTGATTTTGAGCACTATATTAAAAATCATGCTGAAATGTATGAACACTTTTTCCTTAAGAATTATGGGAAGTGTTTCAAATAATAGATGAAAATTCATATGAATTTCTAGAGATCTTGTAAAGCACTCTTAACGTGACTGTTGCTTGCTGATATCAGAAGGTGGTGTATTATGATGACCAAGACATGAACTAAAATTATGAGAAAAACAATGAGAGGCTCCTGTAGCAGGAAGTCTATATAGAATTAAAAACATGTTGATATTGAAGGTATCTATCTACTTATCTATCTAGAAGTAAAACTGACCCTCTCAAATCTAATATCTTTGCTGATAAAGCCCTCATTAAGACTTACCTCCTTACAAAAGAGTATGAAAAATATACAGCACCAAGCCACTACAGGCTGATAACTTGCCTTCCAAAAAACTAGTGTAATAACAGATGCCATATCAGATCATTTAGAAAATAGCGATCTGTCACCAGCAAAACAGAAAGGAATTAGATAAAAATAAAAATAAATCAACTTCTAATCGATATATGATTTTGGAAAATTTGAAAAAAAGGAGAGATAAATCTGCATGTCGATTGGCTTGGTTATAAAAAGGCATTTAGCTCATTGTCACACAACTGAATTTTATTCTGCTTGGAAATGACAAGCGTAAGTGATAACTTCATAAACATGCTCAAAATATGATAAGCATGTGGGGAAACACAGCTGATAACGAATGTTGATCAAACTGATCAAGTTAACCTTAAAAGATGAACGTTTCAGGAAGATCCCCTCTCAGCATTACTATTCATAACATTGTTCATTCCACTGTTAATGATTTTGAATAAAATATGCCATGGTTATCAGACATCAGATCAGCTAAGCTTTTCCATTTCCTCTATATGTATAATCTGAAACTATACAGTAAGTCACAATTGCAAATTGAGTCACTAATTCTTGTAGTTTATAAATTTATAGCAACAACATTCTCATGGATTTGGGGTTACATAGGTATCATTATCAGTAAACAAGGGAAAGTTGATTAAAAGTGATGGAATTGAAATGCCAGGTAGAAACAACTTGCGAAATCTTGCATTTAATAAATCCTCCAAGCAAATAATATTATTCATGGAAGTCAAAGCCATTGTAACCAAGAAATGTATAAGAAGGGTAAGAAAAGTCCTGAAATCCAAGTTAAATGATGGAAATATTACTAAATCCATCCACAAATGGGCTAGTCCATATCTTCAGTTGTGTGCAGGAATTAGACACAAACTGAGCTAGAAGGATTAGACTGAAAAGTCTAGAAAATCATGACCCTTAATTGTCCACTATACCTACAGTGTAGCATTGATAGTCTATATTCGCCCAAAGAGAAGGCTGACATGGAACGCTACAATAGCTGCAATTGCTGCAAACAGCTGAAAAGCTAAAAAGAGCTCTGGTTGAATGGGTATCAAGCAGATACATTAAATTACCTAATAAAGGAAAAGGAATGAAACCAAGCATATATATAAGAACGAGCAGCAAGTGATATGAGGGCAAAAAGCCATCATATGGCCAACACTTTAATAACATCTAAGAATGATGATGATGATGGTGAATGGTTAAAAAGGCACAATAAAGAAGGAAACATTTTAGTGGCTCAATAATACTCATGATGTAATAAAAACCAAAATTGAGAAAACTTAGTATGATAATAAATGTTGGTTGTGCAAAGAATAGGACAAGATTTTGAATACTTCATATGTTGATGGCCAAAGACTTTGTAGATTGAGTACTAGAAAACAGTAATAAATATATCACATTTATTCATCAGAATCTTGGTAGGAATGATAGGAATTACAACTTTCCAGCAACAAAGAATTGGTCGAATCACAATAAGGAACAAAGATATTAAGCTTCTGTTGGTCTTCCAATTACCAGCTGGCAAACATTTAGTCTACAATAAGCGAGATATGATTGTAGCTACCAAGAAATAAGTATAATTGTCATGAAGTAGCTGAAGAGAAAAACATCAATGAGGAAGAACTAGAAAAGGTAAGAAAATATAACGATATTCAAAATAAAGTAATAAAATAAAGTAGTAATATTGCCAGTAGTGGTTGGTAGGCTTGACGTTGTATCAGACAATCTGGAAAATACTGAAACACAATAGGAATGGACAATATTTCAGCTCATCAATTATAACATGTTGTATTCCTTGGAGAAGAGTGTACAATTATGACAGTATCTTTTAGCTAACCTAGATCTTTGGGAAGGAGCTTTTAGTAATAATTTCAGTCATGGGTTCATTAAGACATTGTCAGGTGAGAAGAATCAGGACCGGATGTTAAATTCCAATTAAGATGATTTATTGTTCATGCCTATACATAAGTCATCCTGACAGCATACTAAAAAGCAGAGACATCAGCCTGCCAACAGAAGTATGTATAGTCAAGGTCATGGTTTTCCCAGTTGCAATGTATGGCTGTGAAAGTTGGACATAAGAAAGGCTGAGTGCAAAAGAATTAAGGCCTTTGAACTATGGTGCTAGAGAAGACTCCTGTGAGTCCCCTGGACTGCAAGGCAATCAAACCGGTCAGTTGTAGAGGAGATCAACCCTGACGGCTCTTTAGAAGGCCAGATCCTGAAGTTGAAACTCAAATACTTTGGCCACTTAATGAGAAGGAAGGACTCACTGGAGAAGAGCCTAATGCTGGAAAAGATTGAGGGCAATAGAAGAAGGGGACAACAGAGAATGAGGTGGCTGGAGTCACTGAAGCAGTAGGTATGAGTTTAAATGGAGTCCAGAAAATGGTAGAGGACAGGAAGACCTGGAGGAACATTATCCATGGGGTTGCAATGGGTCGGATATGACTTTGCAACTAACAACAATACATAAGAATTTAATCAACTAACAGTCAGCACTAAATTGGCACTAGAGTTAATGGAATTTTAAAAGGGTTGGACTTAGTGTAGCAATGTAATGACTCCAGGCTGATTCCTCTCTTTACTCTGCCCCCAGGCTTTGCCTGTCCTTGCCTGAATGAAAATAACAATATGATTGAGTGGAAAAATGAAGATTGTAAAACTGCCAATATTATATCAATATTGATTCTTCTTAAATATTTTAAATAGTTATGGATACAATTTTAGGGATTAGTTGGAAATTGCTGAAATCAAACTGTTTTGAATCTTCAAAATCAGTGAAACTGCCTCTGTTTAACCCTCCACCCCCACCTTCCATTTCCACTCTCCACACTTCCCCCCCCTAAAATTTCCTAAAAATTCTGCCTTTATTAGACTTTTTGAAGGAAGCTCCCAAGTCTTCTATAACCTTACAACTTCTTTTAGGAGTGGATTTACTAAATACCGGCCTAAAGTTTCTGATAATGACCATTTTGGCTTGCAGAACATGATACAACACAACTGGGTAGAAATACTTTAGCTGTAATATATTGTACTCAAGGATATCTGGTAGAGAGCCAAAGTGTGAATGCTCACTCCTCCATTTTCACCAATTGCTTTAAGGCTGAGGTGCCTTAAAGCAGCAATGCCATCCAATTGGTATCTCTTGTCTCAGTACAAATCTTTGCCATTATATGGGACCTTCCACCAGGAATATAGCTGCTGTACCAGTGAGCTATTTTCTGTCATTTATCTTGAATTTCTTGAACCAGGAATTGTGTACTCACCTAGAATGATGCAAGTGAGAAGATTCTTCATTACCTTCCTGTGTGAGAGAGTGAATTAATGAATGATTTTAACCTTGTCTCTTCAGAGGTAAAGCATAAAGGAACTAAAAAGTGCTATGAATAACCCCGTGCATTAATACGTATTTCCTATAAGGAAAGGGCGGGCAGAGGAATATTAAACATCACCAAAAATGTTACTGACTTATAGTCTTAAAGTCACGCTTATAAGCCTATGAGTTATTTTTATCATTATATCCAGACTGACTGGGAATTTCTGAAATTTGAAGTTCAAACATCTTAAAGTGGCTAAAATTAAGAAACACTGATACACGTAATGATTATTTTCAGTGCAGTGGTTAACTTACATGCATTTATTCTTCAGAATTGCCAGTAAGTAAAAAAGGGAAACTGACAAAAAGGAAGTTTCTCTCAGGTATTACGGTTGCCTGTTTTTCTGAGGAGGGGGAGGAGATTGTAGCCACCATATCAATAGGTACAGAGAGGCTACCACTCCCATAGGGAAGCCTTGTCCCAATTACCAACATATCCCCAGCTTGCAAAAAGGCTCCCTCCTGCTTCATCAGATTGACTAGTTAGATCAGTAACATATGGACTTTGATCTGAATATACTAAAGTATATTCACCTCCCCCATTTCTATCATCTACCATCAGAATCCACTATGAGTAGCTATGTTTCAAAAAAGTGTTTATTGTACAAATTGTACATATGTACAATAAAAAGTACAATAAAAAGTGTTTATTGTACATATTGTGCATATCAGTATGTCATATCAACTAGAAAGAGAAGATTTAATAAAATTCATGGATTAGGAAAAGTTATGGAAGAGATGTACATCCATGGAGCATTAGAAATTTGCAGCACTATATATCCATTCAGTATCTATATCTGTATCTCTCTCTATTTTTCATTCTATTTCTATCACTATCTCCATCTCCATAGCTATGTCTATGTCTACATCTATATCTCTATCATATTTATCTATCATCTATTTCTATCTGTCTGTCTGTCTGTCTATCTAGCATCCCCAATTATCTACATTTATTAGAGATTATTTCCTAAACATGAATATGTACACAAGGCTCCTATTCATAGAAAAGGTAATACATCACCTGAGTATGTGTGCATAGAAGTACATATTCTGTCTTCCTGAGTTCTCTTTCCATTCTGACTTTTCAAGTACCACCTGTTATGTACAGATCCCTGGGTCATACATCTAACTTTAGTAGACGTGGAGAAGATGTACAATTTCATGGATCAAAAATGAACTTAACTGGCATGCAAAATCTAGCTCAATCAGCATTTATATGAGAGGATAAATAAGTTCTATCTTTTTTATTGACAATTAATACCTAGAATAAATGAAATGGAATTATAATAGTATACTGTATATTGTAATTGTCCTTAAAACATACTTAAACTAACAAAAAAGATACAATATGACAGTTTGATTTGGTCAGAGTGGTAATAAAAAACATTTCTTTCTTCCTCCTTTTCTCCCTCTGTCTACAGTTTGTGGGAGAGAATAAATAACTGATTACAGCTCTGACAGATTTAAAGAATAAAGGAACTAAAAAGTGCTATAAACATTGCATTGTATTAATATACATTTCCTAAAGTTTATTAACATTCACTTAAAAAACCCACTAAAAATCATTTGCTTAGTCAATCCCACACTTCAATAGAGCTAAAATTCTTCATGAAAAGTCAAATTCCACATTCAGTATCCTCTTCATCTCTTTAATAATTAAAATGTCCACCAAATTTACATTAACATATATAATTATTTGAAACAAAAAATAAACCACAAAGGAACATGACCAAATCTTGTGAATTTAATATTGTGCCCTCAAATGTCTTACAACTCAAGAAAACAAAATCCAATATCTGCTTTAAAAAAAAATTCCTTGAGAATTTCCCATGAAACAACATTTCTGATGACTGAACTTCATCCCTAAATCTTGGAAGTACATAAGTCTTCATGTCCTGCTCAAAAATAAATGAGTCAAACTGATCATTGTTACCCAGAATATTCTATTTTGCATATGGAAGCAGTGATTTTCTAAAGCAAAAAAACACCGAGTTGTTTTTAATAGTCCCGCTTAATGCTCTTTAAATACAGAAACTAGACAGGGTATCTGCCCTATGTATACTGGGTATGTGAATATCTGTTTGTTTGTCTACATATTAAATTAAGAAACGCCTATCTCCCTACAGAGGGACTCTGTGAAATTTAATAGGTGTACTGAACTTGTGCTTTATATGAGAAGGATACTAGTGTGTTTCAAGATATTTTCTTTGTAGCCTAACAGGATCCCTGGACCTCCTTCTTTAAAAGAAATCAATACATAGAAAGGAAAAAAATGGGGATAATATTTTATAAAGTCAAGTACAGTGTCACTGTGATTTTCAAGAAATACACTGGATCCCCTAAGGGGCATTAACAGCATTTTGAGAAATAAACATGCCTGTAGCATATTCTTATTAACCCAGAAGAGCATTAATAATATTCTCAGAATAAATGTTGAGAGATACAGTAATTGGAAATGTATCTGCCAATCTTCTTAGATTGATTGGAAAATCATGGTTTGGGGGATTATCCTGCTAACAAAACTCACACTGGGAAATGTCAAATTGTCAAACAACCATTTGTCTGAAAATATATAGGGTTTCCTTCTTGAGCAGGGGGCTGGTCTAGGAAGCCTTCCAGGTCCCTTCCAATGCCATTATTCTGTTTATTTAGCCCCCAGTGTGAGAAAACAAGTAGAGAGGAATTCTACACAGCCACAGTGAAACTCCAGTTTACCTGAACCAGGCTGGTGCACAGGACTGAATTCTGTCTTAAACATACTTGGGGCTGCCTATTTGGGAAATGGAGAAAGTATGCAAGAGAAGACTCCCTGGCCAACGGAAGATTGGACACACTGTAAATAAAGAGGAAGAGAGAGTTTTCAGAATTAGGGAACACAGGAGAAGCTGCTGATTATGAGATATTGAAAGATTCTGGGCAGTCTGAGATTCAGATAGCTCTTTATTAGCAAAATAATTTTAGGGAAAGCCTGAGAGTGACTGAAGACAATGGAAGTACTCTTTAATTTTAAATAATAGATAAAAGAGCCCTTCTGAATAATCATAATTTGAACACTTGTTAAGGAGATGTTTTTTTTTTCTTATTCAAAACTTCACTACCTATTTAAGCAAAGACATGCATGCTTGAAAATAAAGCTCTCTTTATATTTTTCAAGTTTTTGTTCAAAAGAAAATCTTACTGAACCATGACCAACGGAAATATGCTCCAGTTGAAACAGCATTTGGTTCCTCATATTTTCTTCTTTTTCTTTTTGTGAAATTGATGCTCATGGTTCTTCAGTGCCTCATGGTGGGTATTATAATATAAGAGGGTTTATTGTCAGTATACAGACAGTGCAGACAATCAAAAGTGTTTAATATCCTCTAGTGATGTCTTGATTGGGTCCTAAAACCAAGCAACAGACAGTAAATGTGGAACTTCCAAGATTACTATATTTCTCTCTCAGCACAGTTTGTTATTTTCTACAGTGACACTTTCAGTAAACAGGTAGTCAGAATCTTTCCAGTGAAATAGTTGAGAATAGTGGTGGTGTACAAGATTAGAATGCAGTATTGCAGGCTAACTCACTGCTCACTGCCAGAAGTTCGATCCTGACCAGCTCAAGTCTGACTCAGCCTTCCATTGTTTTGAGGTCAGTAAAATAAGGATCCAGATTGTTGGAGGCAATATGCTGACATTGGTAAGCTGCTCAGAAAGTGCTGTAAAGCACTAGGAAGTGATATCTAAGTCTAAGTGCTATTGCTATATGTATTGTATGTGAAGGCAGAGAAGCCAGTTCTCTCTCTCTCTCTCTCTCTCTCTCTCTCTCTCTCTCTCTCTCTCTCTCTCTCTCTCTCTCTCTCTCTGTGTGTGTGTGTGTGTGTGTGTATGTGTATGTGTGTATGTGTATGTGTATGTGTGTATAGGGGGGAAGTATGTTCACAAATTTTTGATGGTTAAAACAAAATATATTTTCATCAAGTATATATGGAAGTCCTGAAAAACTTGACAATTATTTTCAACCACTTTTAGAGATTCTCACATTTCAGTAGGACTCAGTTTATGATTAGGCCTACAGAAACCAAGCAGAACTTGTCAACATTGCAAATTCCCTGAAAAAAATGTTTTGTGATTCAGGATTCAACCTAAAGAATTGTGAAATTTTGCCTCAGATAATTTCTCCATAAATATTGGCAAGCATAATGAAATGCTGATGCTTCCACAAAAGAAGTTAATGGTGGGAAAAATAATGTTGGTTGTACATTTTGTGTGAAAGATAAGAACAACTTTGTTTTGATTCTTATAATTTATGTTGGATCTCTGATATCATTCTAAAAAAAGTACCCAAAACGTAAGAATTTGTTTAAGAATATATATATATAATACTCTAATCAGAAATATCTGGAATATGTTACATTCCAGATGGTTAAGCATCTATCCGTAAGAGAAAATTCTTAATATTTCAGGTGGCTTTAAAAGCTGTTCCATATTTCACATGATATTAATGAGCCTATTACACCACATTTCCCAAAAATGGGAGGAACTAAGAAGTTGTTTGAGATTTGGGAACAAAAACAAGCAAATGAATTCAAGGGAACAGCGTATAAATTGTTTGCTGTCTTTCTACACACAGAAAATATTGCTTCAGCATAAGAAATTTATGATCCAAATGTATTATATTAAATTGGTCTTCCTACTTTAGAACAAAGATAATGTGGCTGTCTTATCTTCTGAAGGAAGATCTTCAGAAGTGAAACCAATGCCTGTTAATAGTTTTGCACACAATGGAAATGTGAATGATCAGATGGTCATTGGGGGTCACGAAGCTGGATCATTTTACAAACAGACATCTGGAAGGCCTTCAAAGTTGCACCAATTCCAGACAAAATGAGACAATTGAGATTGTGGAGGTGCAGATATGTGATCAGAGCTGATGTGTAATCCATTGCAAAATGGGCACTTGCACTCAGCCCAGATGGCCAGTGGCTCCAAGGATGCCCCAAAAAGCGA